AAAAAAACTATTCGTTTTATACCGTCTAACTAGGTAACATCTTGTGGTTATTTTTGAACAGAGGGCTTGAACTCGGGCAAAGAAAAACAATTTTTTTTTCATAAAAGCACGATGCTTTGGAAATGTTCGTGTCTCGCAAAAGGATCCAGTGTGATACTTCGAACGATCAAAACGTTCCCTTCCCAAAAAGGCCTACGCAATATATTTAAGCGTCGGGCTTTAAAAAATAAAAAAAAATAAAAAAAATTGAAAGATAAAAAAAAAAGGAAGAAGAAGAAGATGAAAAGCTCGGAGACTGTATAGGATTCCGCGCGCATTTTCTCGCGAAGCAGCAGTTCTTTAAGCAGCAGCAGCAGCAGGCATGGCGTGGCAGCCAGTTGGTTCGGGAGCGGAGCACGGCGGCGGCAGTCTCTCTGTTGCTATGCCGGCTTCTCCTGCGCCGCCGCCGCCGCCTTTGCTCCCCACCACCCTTCTCGCGCTCTCTCGTGCTCTACCCCGAGAATCAACCCCCCTCTAACAGAGCGGCCAACGTCCTGTAGGATGCGTCGCGATGAACCTACAAAAATATATAGACACCTTGCTACATCTGGCAGCTTGCTAATATCCTCGCGATGTACGCGAATGTGTTTGGTATTCCACGTTGCTTTTCTGTGAGCCGTCAAGCGAATCGCACTTGCCGTTTTCGTGCCGTAAGAACGATCTCGATGACGAGATCAACTAGTTGCTATGGACGATCCATTTGAGAGCGGGCTCGATTGTTTTTCCCGGTGTCCGCTGTATATCGTGGCTACCGTCAGCGCGCGTTGTTATCCCAAAGATCTGTCGTTTATTGTCCGGCGATCCGCGCATCGGGCGCTCGGCATGGCAACTTGGACTGATCCTCGCTTTATATTGCGCCAAATCGGGTGCAGCCCAATTTTGTTCTCGCCTATCGTCAAATTTCACAAACGGAAAAAGTCTCATAGACCACTAAATCCTCGTGATCTCGATGAAAGAATGAGAAAACAAATGAATTACCTTTTCAAACATGTGTGTCGCGGAATTGTTTTTATTCTCGGAGAGAAAAAGCACGAACTTGGGCAAACTTTGTCGCCTCAGGGTCGAGAACGAAGAAAAAAAAATCAGATTAAAAAGGATTGCGGTAATAGCACGGGAATTGGGTATACACGCAGAGGCGTTTTCACGTCCGTTAAACTCGGGAAGAAAAAGATAAAAAGGCAAGAAGTCCCGACGGTACAAAGACTATACACATTCATTCTCGCGCGCTCTATTGATACTTCACTCGGGCGAAAGAAGTCGCGCCTGCGAAATTAGAAGTATAAACGAGAAGAGGGCGTAACGATCAGCTGATGGATCCGATAACTCAATTTTCGCGAGCATTACACGTATACATTCTCTCGATATGTATGCGTTACATCTTGACTCGATTTTCTTCATTCCTTTGCTTGCGTATCAAACGCGCCCTTCAAAGATTTTTTATTCTTTCGACAAAGAGAGCAGCAACGCTCGCCCGTTTTAAACTTTATGCATTGAAAATGACGAGACGAGACAGTCTTATTTATTAAAGTCAAACGCCCTGACGCGTGCGAGCATAAAATATAGCAATGTTTCGTTGCGACATACTTTTCGTGTCGTTGCTACACAGCACTGCGAGTTCTCTCTCTGCTCTCTGCCAATTACCAGCACGTGAAGCCAAATGAAGGAGGAGAAAAACCAATTTTCGCAGCACTCGTTGCTGCACTGCCGTGTATATAGGTTGTCGAAATCTCTCAGTGCCGTTTGCGCGGGCTCGGCGACGTTGCATGCGAGAGCGCAATAAGCGCGACTTCGCTGAAAGTAAAAGGAGGTTAGGATACATGACCTTGCCTACATCGAGCTAAACCTTTTTGCTCGTCTCTGAGCCATTGCAACAGCTAACGCGACGACTCGCAGCAGCAGCAGCAGTAGCAGCAGCAGCAGCAGCGCCCGATTTCCATATAAAATATATTAGCCAATATCATCAGCACAAGCTCGTGCGGAGAAAAATGAGCGTGCGCGCGATGAACTCAACCGTCATTAAATTAACGAACTTAACGAGGCTCAATTATATGCATGTCATATACGATATGGCGATAAATTGAATTAATTATGCAAGCTTGTAGCGAACGTGCGGTCAACTGGTATCTCCGTGTAAAGTTTTCGCGACCAAAAAGTCGTCTCGACTAAAAGCTACAACGAAAGTCGAAGAAAAAGTCGAGCGGAAGCTCCGCGCTGCTGGAAAAGGCATTAATCGGACGATGCAAGGCCAATGACTTGGCGGTGCGAAGGCTCGGAGTCGGCGCCGCCGCCGCCGCCGCCGCCGCCGCCGCCGCTTGAGCCGGCTCAACTTCCGTTGACCGAGATCAGTTGCGAGATGCTGTGTGCTACACGTGGTTCCCCGGCGACCGCGTGAGAAACTCGCCACTTCGGATGTATGCACGTCGCTGCGGCCGCGGATTAATCTGCGGTTCTTTTTCCCGCGGGCTAGCTGCTTTATTGACGCCTACGTTTCTGCAATTTGCGCAGATTTTTTCTTTCCTCCCGTTAATTGCAGCTTAGTCATTTTCGTTGCGGATGCAAGATGCGGCGCGAAACTTCCGTTTTTATTATCAAACAATGTGACAAACGTAATTGCTTAGACGTTATTTCATTGATATAGACTCTAATCTTGATCTCTACTTACGACCACTCCAAGTTGTGAAACTTGACGAACACTTCTGTTCAGAATACAATGTATTCCCTCGTATTCGAAAAAATAAGATGCCCCTGATGATCACGCGCGCGGACAGCGGACGGGTAAAACGAAATCATGAAATTTTGATAAAAAAATGATGAATGGCCTGGAATCCGGAAGCCATTGTTTTTTCAAGAGTAGAAAAAAATTCATTTTTTTTTATTGCTCAATGTACGCGGGTCAAATTTCTGCGCGCGGGTCCGTACTAAGTATTCAAACTCTGCCTCCCTCACGTTCTCTTCATAAATTCTCATATCGTAAACACAGAGATGAATTATTCAGGGCAAGTGATGGTACAGTTCCTTTTTTATTCTCGACGAAATGAAGTTTGAGTTTTATTTATTTTTTGCTCCTCGCCTGCACGTTTGCTTATGCCGATCTTGGTCGTCGCGTGCCGGACAATCAGCCGAATATTCGGCGCGGGCCGGTTGACGGCATTCTTTCTCGAGCTTCTCTCTCGCCGCGTGAACACGGTGCAACGGTAGGGGGACTCCGATGTGCGACTGGCATACGAAATTTGCTGCTGCGCGTGCCTCCGACGTTTCACGCCTGCATGCATTGCCGCCGCACAGCGGAAGGACAAAAAAACCAATTCTTCCGCCACATTCGCCTGGTCGAAAACTCGTTAAACGCGAATTCCCGATAAGAGGTAGTCGCGCGACATGATAATCCATTTGCCGGTCTTTCGCGCTAGAGAACGTGTGCTCGCTCGCGCGCGCGCGCGCGCGAGTTTTCAGTTCGGCGGAGGCGCGGCACGCAGCATATAAAGTGCAACGCCTCGCGAACGCGCTCCGCTTCTCCGTAACGGGACGCCAACTGCCTAAATCCCGCACGAGCAGCTCACGAGACCGCGTGATATCAGCCGTCGAGGGGCGAGCTTGCGAATGCCTCGCTCACCTCCTGCGCACGCTCTTTAAAAATTATACAATGGACCGCCTCCGCGCCAACGACGGTTGCATTTTCACTCGAGTTTGGGCAACTGTTTCCTTGCGCTTTGGGCAGTGTACAACTCGTGATAGCTGCAGGATGAATAATAACGCGAGGAAACGGGATCATTCTATCGACAATCGATGGTCGAACGTCATACAAAAATAAACCGCGGCGCGAAGCAATTAATCAGGCCATTAAAAATATCAGCGCGAATGCGTCCGCGTGGGTATCCCATGCGAGTTGGAAATAATCGCGAGGCGGAAAATAGCCGGGCGTCATGTAAAAATAGCGCGGGTCTCGGGCTTTACAGTTTTGAATAAACAAGGAGTACGACTCGCTTGCCTGTAGCAGCAGCAGCAGTAGTAGTAGCAGTGAGATATGACGAATGTGGCTTGTGGGCTTAATTGAATTTAGCTCAGCTCGTATCTCTCTCTCTCTCTCTCTCTCTCGCTCTCTCTGGGTCATCCTTGAGGAATTGCCACCGAGCGTACACTACTGCAAAAGCGAAGGCTACCCATGCATCGCGCCCATTCTCCGCAATGCGCGCGGCAGCTTTGGCATGTCCGGGTGTTGCCTGACATAATGGCGAGTTCCCTCGCTCTCTCTCTCTATCTCTCTCTCCTTTTGAGACTGGAACTTACGCCCCCCATCTTCACGCCTGGTCATTTTCTCACTCGATCTCAGCGACTTTGACTCGTTTTTCTTTTTCTCTTTTGCTTTTTTTGTTTTTGAAAATCTTGGGCACGAACTTTGTTCTTTTTACATGAAAAGCTCTACGCGTGGGCATGAATGAACGTGTTTTTTATAGTTAGGCGTTACATGGTGCTGTACTTAGCGAAAGGGTCTCAAGTACACACCTCTTGGAGAATTTTTGAAGCTCGCGCGTCGCTTGAAGCTTTTGATGAAAAAACGCACGCAAGCTCGGGAATAGCTTGGCGAAGTGTATAACATTCACGCACAAGAGCGATGTATCAATGACGCCGGACATTAAAGGCGCGCGGGAAAGCAGGGGCAATATGGAAATTCCACGCTAATTGTGAGTAGCACAGTTGTACCAGCAGCATCAGTAGTAGTGAAAAAGGAGTTGAAGAATGAACGGGGCGAGAATGAGTCAGCGAGCAAGAATGAACGAACGGGACAAAGAGATAGAAAGAGAGAGAGAGAGAGAGAGAGAGAGAGAGAGAGAGAGAGAGAGAGAGAGAGAGAGAGACAGAGAGGCGAGACGAGAGCATATAGGCGCGTACGTACGCAGAGCCGCTGCATTCAAGAAGATGAAGACGCGCGCTCGAGTGCTGAAAGAGACGGACGTCGAGTGAGAGAGAAGGTCAGGCTGCAGCGGCGGCAGCACTTTGACTAACTACTCGTTCCGTCCGGTTATTACTTTGCTTCCTCTCTCGGGGGGAGCGGCAGAAGGTGTAAAGGGGGGGAGGGGGTGAAAAAATGCTGGCAAACCACGCGCGCCGGCAATTTACGACAAGAAGCAAGAGATCGCGAGAATCGCGCGCTAGACGTGCTGCCGCGAGCTTTTTTTCATTTTTTTTGTTTTTTTGTTTTTTTTTTTTTCGTAACGGAGAGCAAGGTCGTTGAACTTTTGCCTGTTTTGGCCTCCGTGTCGATCTAATACTGTGCGTTGCGCCGTGTAGCTGTGAATGCTATCGAGCTCTCGAGGACGAGAGTCGGCCGATGAAAAAGAGAGAGAATCGAAGAGCGATAGGAGATGTCTCAGTGGCATTGTGCAAGTTTTGAGGCTACTGGCCGCCGCTGTAGAGCATTGCTATGCAAATGAAGAGAGCGAACGCGTGGCGGTGACGGCAGATGAGCGACAACGGGCACCACCATCGATCCAGCCGCTCCGGAGGCGCATTAATGAATGACACTTTTTTCTCATTCAACCGCCAGCAGCGCCGACACCGATGCGCACGGCGCCGAGTGGCCTACTTTTCGACTACTGCCGCGGCACACGCGAACGTCGAACGTCTGCCCTCGCCTATGGCCCTGTGCACCTATAGACGGGGCTCGCTCGGTCGTTCGCTCGCGCCGCTATTGCACGAAAATAATCGAGTCACCGAGCCTTGCCCGGCAGCAGAGCTGCAGACCAGGATGAGGGAGTGCCGCGTTTCAAATTTATGCGCTAATTCGTTTATCGCCTCGCCTAGCACTTGGGCTGTGTGCCCCGATCGCCGGTGGCCTGGCGCCTTTAATTCGAGCGCTTACCTGCGTCCCGCCGCTACAGGCTGTCCCTTTACGACCAGCACGCCGACGGCGCATGAACGATAGTATTGCCGTGCAACGTCGAGGTGGCACGCGTTGGCTACCGTTACTGGTCGTCCGGAGCATGGCAAGCGAGACATTTGCGTGACGAGGTGCGTTTGATTTGGTTTTTCAGTGAGCGGGAGGACGGTGAGCAGTGGCGGAGGTGGTGGTGGTGGCGGCGGCGCGCCACTGTACGGGCGCCTGGTGGCCGAGGAACCGTTGCCGGGCGCGGTGGGCGGCGGCGGCGGCCCCGGGCCCGGCCAGGACGCACCGGCCGACATCCACGCGATGCAGGCCAGGATACCACACAGGTTTCGCGACCCGGCCACCGCCCCCTTGCGCAAGCTCAGCGTCGACCTCATCAAGACCTACAAGCACATCAACGAGGTGAGTCCACGCGATCGGCCGGTTGATCGCGCGTTTCGCGACGGGCGCGACACAGCGACACTCGATACTCGCCGCGCGAGATCATCCGCTTTGTCGCGCCGCGCGAGCCCAGCGGCGGACACCGAATGCGGCGGGGAGGGCTAGAACGGATTGGCAGAACGCGAGCCCGCGCGCGCTTTCCGGCCGAAGCCCCGTGGGCGCCCACGTGGGCAGGCGGGCAAGCGCGTGCCGGCAGTTATCTGCCTCCTCGATAATCCGATAATCCGGAAAAGCAATCCGGCTTTCATTTGGCCGCCCGATCAAAATGCTCTCTTCCCTGCCCCTCTGCCTGACCGTGCTGTTACGCGCGCGGCCCCCACCCCCGCCTGCCCCATTTCGCTCCGCTCCGTGTTTTTTTTTTTTTTTCCGCGTGTTGTCTCGTGCGAAATAATGAGAAATATTGTAGGCTGTTAAATGGGAGACTGAGCACATTACGAGTTCATTCAACTCTACGCGTCGTCATCGACGTCCTTCCGATTCAAATTTATTCCGCGTGGTCGTAGTTTGTGTGCGAGTATGCGGAAAAACGAAAGAGTACTGTGCGCAGAAAAACACATTTATTGTTCTGCCTATTTACTCCACTGGTTTTCTGCCCTTCATTATATACACGTGCCAATATAATATTTCACTGGATTAAACACCGCTGCACCTGTGCGTTGTATAGAGTAGATGAGCTCTGCTTGCCAAAAATAACACGCAAATTTATCACTACGTACAGCACCAACAACTTCCATCGTATCGTACATAAATATCCCTGGGTATATATGTGGAAGTCTGGCAATCTACGGTTGATTAAACGAAAATGCTTTTTTTTGGAATTTTAGTGCATGCCACTGCCACGCATACGCACACACATGTACACAAACACGCGCGCAAGTGCAAATGGCAACGTACAATATTAAGCTGAAAATGTTTTGGTTGTTGTCGCGAACGAGCGTACCCACAGACCAATAAGGAGGTATTAGCGTCCGATTGAATAATACAAACAGAGTGAAAGAGAGTGGGAAGCTGAGGGAAGAATGCGTCGGATATGAGCCCACGTATCGTCGGTGCATTCATATTTAGCGTCTGCGGCGCTATGATCTTCCTGTGCAGCAGCACAGCGGAACGCGTAAAATCCAGAGTACGACAAATCCGCTCGCGCACGTCGTGCCCCCGCGCCTCGATGGAAGAAAAAAGAAAAAATGAAAAATAATGGGCTCGCAGCCGCAGTTGAAGAATGGGCTAGCCAAGTCGCGGAGCTGAAAGATGGTCGGTACACTCGCTGGCATACGCAAAGCGCGTTATCTGCGGCGAGAGCACCTCGCGTGTCAAACATCGGATTAGAGCGCAAGCGAAGTGTGCGCGAGAATGCCGCATACGGCTGGCGCCCGTATCGCAAGCAAAGCGACGATTAGGAGGGAGCTAAGGTGTTCGCAAGAGAGAGAGAGAGAGAGAGCGAGAGAGTGAGCGAGAGGGGGGAGGGAGATTTAGTCGTGGACTCAGTCGAGCGGCAATGGCACTCGAGAGAGCGCGGCGGCGAAGGACGTCGGCATGCACCTGCAACGGCTGGCGGCGGCGCGGTGGTGGCCTCTCGCTTCCGGTGAGGCCGATGTGTATAGCAGTACAACTCGCAGTAGTTCGCATTCCTGTCGCGCCGCAGGCTAAGGAGTCCGAGAGCCAGTGAGCAGCAGTAAGGAGTTATGCACTGGGTCATCTTGGTGCTCACCCCATTGTCCGATTACGTATTCGCTGAATGCAGGTGCTCGGGCGAAGAGGTGAAGGGCCTCGATATACCGGGCATTGCCGATCGATTATCGTCCTAGCCAGAGTCCCTTTTGCTCTTTCTCTCTGCGAGTTCGCGTCTCTGACTTTGCCGCCTACTGTCCTGCGTTTGAGCCACGAGCGCCATTGCTTCTTTTATCATTAGAGCTGGGCTATCGTCGATCGGTCGGCCGTCGTGTCGCGCGAGCCTGCCTGCATGGAAACGCTTGGATTCGCTCGGGAAAGCATCTCAGTCGTAATTTTCTAGACAGTCGGCTGGGCATATGCAGCTGGATAAAAGTCTCGTTACGACTCACCGACTCGATCGAAACGGTCTGGAGGCCGTCGAGGCACGAACAACGATTCAAGGACAACGACGAGTTTTTCATCTGGCCAATACGCGGAGGGAACAGATGCAACTAGGTGTCGGCGAGTGTTTTCGAAGTCGCGCGAAGCATTCGGCGCCGAATATATAGCGCGATAGAGAAAAAGGCGCGCGCATTTATTGGCGAAGACATGCAAGTTTTTGGCCCCTCGTATATATGCTAAGTGGTTCGCGGTGCCGCTGCTGGCACTGCGGCATCCATTGTTTCCTGTAGCGTTGGCATGGCGGGCAGGCAGATCAGCCGAACTTCCCAATTGATTTTATTGGTTTCCCGCCCTTCCCCGATGTTTCGCTCTGGCTTCCGAGGATTTTTCCCGTCGCATTATGCCTCCACCCACTCACTCTCGACACGCTCCTGATTCTCTCCGTTTACTACGAGCTGCCGCCGCGCTTTTTTTCTCCCGAAAGAATAATGCCGTATGACCCGCGTGCGCGCGAGAGCTTCTCGCTCCGTCCTCCTTGGCTTGTCCCGCAGTTTTTTCGCGCTCTCGTCTCCTCCAGGAAAAACAATGAGAATGCCGAAGCTCTCGCAGATCGGACGCGCACTATTGTGTAAATGTTTTGCAAGCGCTCTCTCGCGAATACGTCGCCCCCCCCCCTCTCTCTCTCTCTCTCTCTTCGTCCTAACTTTTTATACTCCAAGTCTGGCCTATCGTCTTCGGCCTTCGCGATCCAAGTCAATCCCGCTTGATTTGAAAACTTGAAAAACTCGAGAAGAATTGCAAGTCTCATCTCTTCATCGGGGGACTTCTTTTAGTTCGCTAAAGTATTTACGCCAATGACGAAGGCCGCGCGACAAGTGAATGAGAAAAGAGGCCGAGAAATTATTGAAGAGAGGCGGCGAGAAAGTGGATAGAGAGAATCGAGTTGGCTTGGCTTGGCGGCGATCGGCTAAGCGAATAATTTAAGGCGATCCAGATTTCGAATTGCTTGTTCTCTTCCCTGCTCACGGCCAATTTTGGTTTTTTAATGCCGCAGCCAAAGCCAAGAGACACACAACTCTTGCTTTCACTGGTTTTCTTTTTCTTTCTTTTCCCTCGGTCGACTAACCTTCGAAACGAGGAAGAGACAGAAAATCAAGCGACTAACGTGATTTTTCTAGAGACCGGCTATGCACAAGCAAAAAGAAATCGATCGCGCGGGTAAGAAATACGCCGATGGCGATCGGCGCTCGGTCCTGGAGATATAGACGCACGGACGTGGCTAGCGGCGCAACCCACACATAGGCCAAAAAAAACTTTCCGTTGGCCGCGAGATATACGACGTGACTCACGGCAGCAGCAGTACGCTGCACGTCCCCAAGCGGAAGATGCCTTTTGGCCGCTGCTTTGTCTCCGTATACCCGATCGCTCGCCGTCCTTTATTGACTGCGAGTCAGCGTAAAGTTACGCCGCGCCGATACAACCAGAAGACGCGATTGCACGTCTTTGTGCGTGCGATAAATTTAGACGCGGACTTGGCGTTCCGGCTTCTCCGATTTTTATGCTCCAGATATGGCCTGCCTCTCGCGCGAAAGGCATTTCGCGCAGCTTTCGTTTTCGACATGGATCTTGCCTTTGCGAGACACGCGCGAGTATCAGTCCGCGTAACGGTAGGCCTAGTTACTTACTCGCTTATCGCGTATATTCGGCACTGCCGTCAGATAAAGAGAGAAAATTGCAATTAACCTGCTTGTGGTCTCAGGTTTTACTGCTTTATTATACGGTTATAATTCGCGTCGAGCGTTTCACTCGAGGCGGGAAAGCAAGCAGCGAATTATCTCGAGCGCTGACGGCGCGCAATCGGTGGCGCCGATACTCCTCGCAATGCGTCGGCGCTGTTGCATCAACGCCGATAAGATAGAGCGCCGGTTGCCTGATAACGCAACTCGCGTTATTTTTTTCTTTCTTTTTTTCGTGGTCGCAACGTTCGCCCGTGCACTTTGCGCGCGTTCTCAAGGACGATGTCGGTCGGCGCGGTTCCTTTCCTCATCTCGCACGACGTCCAACTGAGACGCGATGGAGAGAGTTCAGGAATCTGTAAGGCGAATCGGTACTCTGGATCGGTAAGGCGATCATCTGGTTTGTTAAAGAGCCAGAGAACATAACGTGGCCCTTGATCGAGACCTTGAACATAAAAGGTTGCGCGAATTGAAGATTCTTATTTTTAATTATTCCAGCGACAAAAGTGCTCTGTCTTTTTGGATAATAAAGGCCAGAGAGGAGGAGAACGCATTGAGGAGAGTCGGCCTAAAAATGTATAAGTGGGTGTCGCGGCGCGCGAAGCGAGACGGCAGGTAGACACGCGAAAGAGACGAAGAAGGTCGGAGAGAGACAAAGCGAAAGAGCTGCTGCTGCTGCTGCTGCTGCTGCTGCTGCTGCTGCTGCTGCTGCTACGCCGCGCTTTCATTCATAACTCCGTCATTCCCTCTCTCTCTTTTGCTCTAGCTGCCGTTGCCGTTGTTCTTCTTTCCGTGCATTAACTTATTACGCTCGGCTTTTGTGACGTCTGACGTGCAAGCTCTCGTCCGCCAGATTTTTACCGGTTCTACAACATTCATGGAGATGAATCATTGATTTTTTTCTCTTCTTCAAGCGTCTGCTACCTTATAACTTGTCTCTTGAATTTCGGGATAATGGCCTTTCCTCCCAATGCTTTTTAGAATTATAGTATTTGGGAATAGTTCACCGATTCATTATTTTTTCAATGGAATATTAAAAAATCCAAAGTAGTTTTCATGTGCTTAGTATGTATTAATTACTGTTGGTAGAATCAGAAGTAACACTTTTAAAATTTTAGATCCAGCAGTTGTACTGGATGTAGAAAAACGATTGAATAATATGGTGCATCAATATGAAAAGTATCTATTATCACGGGGAATTTCGCATCAAATGCTTATCATCCATTCGTGTTAATTTCAATAGAAACCAAAAGACTTGCCGCTTTTTACGCGGTTTTTCTGGAGATTGATCAGCACGATGTTCTTCTCCGCGAGATGCATATTTATAGAAAAGAAGAATCGCGAAGTGAAGAAGAGCGCGCGCATAGCTTGACAGCAGCTAGCAACTGGCAAAAGTCTCGAGGAACGTATAGAGCTACGCAAGGTGCTACTGCTAGCTTAGTCATCCGTATACTTCTCGCAGAGGCGCATGGTGCATGCATGGTTTATGCACCGCGCCGGCGGTATCTTTCGCAACACGGCGATAATACAGCCGCGCGCTGCCGGCAAATGGCACGAGGCCGTGACGTTCCTCGAGTGGCAGCGAGACACAGCGTCGCATCGTTGCTCCGAGCGTGTGTACTGTCGGTGGAGGCAGAACCGGAGCAACATTTGCCGGCCAGCAAAAAGAAAAGAAAAAAGTGGAACGAGCGGCCAGGGAGAATTAGGTGGCGCTGTCGGCTATTCGGAGCTCGGCAATCACGTACCGCTCTCGCGGGGATTTTCGTCGTTGGCGCGCGCTGCTCGCGCTCGCGCCCCCTTGGCGCTTTTCCGGGGACTGGCGCTGCCGCCTGCTCCGCCGGCGGCGCGGCGCTCACACATAGCAACAACACCGCCACCCCGAGCAGCCAGAGCGAGCCGCGCGTGGCCGCCCCTCTTCTGTCGCGCGCGCGCGCTCTTTCGCTCTCTCTCTCTCTCTCTCTCTCTCTCTCTCTCTCTCTCTCTCTCTCTCTCTCTCTCTCTCTCTCTCTCTCTCTCTCTCTCTTTTCCTCCCCCCATGGCGAACCGTATGGGGTACCGGCCTCGTGCACTCCCGCGCGCATAGCAACAGAGACGGCCACGCGCTCGCCCGCGCATCTCTTGTTTTCCCATTCTCTAATTGAGCCTCGTCGATCGGACGCTTCGTTCGACAGTCCTCCGAGAGCTCTTACATATTCATCCTCCGTGCGCGCAGCCCGGAGCTCTTTCTTTCGGCTTTCGTGGCGCTGCCGCGCGCGACTCCCTCTTGCCGCGTCTTTTGCCACTCCTTTGCCAAATACATTTGCATTTTCTTTCGTTCTGGCCAGTCGAATTTCGATGGGGGCTTGAGAACGCATGCTAAAAGAAAAACACTATCGCGGCTTTTGTTCGAGTCGAGCGACGCTCCCGTTCCACGCGTCTGTCTGTCGAGTTCCTTTAGACGAATACTCGATTGCGGACGAGAGCTCATGCATGAGAAATGTGAAACGAGCAAGCGCTCGCTAATTGTTTCTCTGGCTTGTCGAATGCATAAGTAAATAAAAAAGAATCTCGGAAAGATTGAACTTGCGACTGCCAGCCTGCAGGCGAACCTTCTGACTGCGCGGTGTAGACTTCAGAACGCGGCCACCGTCAATTACGAGTGAAAAAAAAAATGGAAAAGCGAAAAACAAAGGGAAAAAAGTAGCGCGCGCGCGAACCAGAGAGAAAGGAAAAAGGGCGCAGAATCCGATCTGTCGGCGGCGTGAGAGAGAGAGAGGAAGAGAGAGAGAGAGGCACCTAGCAATCGATAGCGTCTCGCTTCGCGCGCCAACGGCAATTCACGCAGCTAGCTACACCACGTGAAAATCACGCTGTTGCTGCGAATTCCCTGTCCCGCGACGAACTTCAGACAATTATTTCCTTTTTTTTTCTTTTTCATGTTTTTAGATAAATTACTTATGGTGTTGATAAAGCTGTGTCTAAACTGCTTACAATCTAATTGTTAAAAATATTAATTTGGAGGAAATGGGATATACAGTAAATAAAAACAGTCAGGTGTATCTCATAATGACAAGTCTACAAAACAAAAACATAAAAAAAGAGATATTCCGAGCACCTACTAGAAAATTACTTCCGCGAAATAAAATTTCAAAATTGAAGTAAACAAATACAATAAAAAATATTGACAAGGTGGAATTACAAGACGAGAAACGAGAAAGGAAAATTAGAGTTCTGAAATGGAGAAAATTGAAACAGGTGAAGCTGGCGAAAAGACGGAAAAAGCGAAGGAAAAGCGCGAGACAGTGGGGGAAGCCGAGCGAGCGAGGAGGGTGGAAAGCATGGAGAACAGTCTCCGTAGTGGAAAGACAGACGAGCCGAAGGAAGGGTAGGGGTAGTAAGGGCTGCGCGAAAGAGGGGAGCATATATACTAGAGAGAGATAGATCAACCTGGGGGCTGCTCTTGCTCTCTCGCTCGGCAATGTCAATGACCTCGAAAGAGCGCCTTCCTCTCCCTCCCGCCGTTATCTCTCTGCGTGTCTCACCTCTTCTGCGCACTCGCGATTCTTATCGCGCGCGCGAATTCCAAAAGAAAGAAAAAAAGATGAAAGCTGCTCTTTCCAAATTTCGACTTTTTCTAATTGCAGACTCCTCTTTATTTACAACCCTGGCAATTACCGACTGCTGTAAAATAAACCTGCCCTCGCGTGCAACCGCTACTGTATATTTGTGCATAAAGTCGAACGCGTTTTGAAAAATACAGTTAGTAGATGCAAAGTTATTCAACACTTGAAATTGGAAGCTTCTAATGAATTTTCTATTAGCTGTGGGAGAGAGAGAACATAAATTAAAAAGAGATCGGAACATTTAGTCGTGAAACAGCGCGCGTTCGGTAAAGATTACGAGGACGTGCGATGCCGCAGTTTTTACCTTGTCCGACTTTTTTGCAATAGCTTTGCGTATAGATAATAAGTAGCGATAAACACTTGCCTTCCACAGACAGCCAACAAGCTACTAGTTCCCAAACTTTTGAAATAATTACCGCGTTTCATGAAATGTGTAGTTAAACATCTCAAAAACATGCATTTCCTTTGACTAAATATTTGTTCATTTCTATGACCCAGGTGTACTACGCCAAAAAGAAAAGAAGGGCGCAACAAATGCAGGGCGAGGACGGCTCGCACAAAAAGGAAAGAAAGCTGTACAACGACGGCTGGGATGACGATAACCACGACTACATTATCAAGAATGGCGAGAAGTTCCTTGATCGATACGAGATCGATTCGTTAATAGGTAAGTGTCAATCCCGCAGGATTTGCCTTAAGCCATTCTCTTCCTCTCTGTGATTTCAAATTCTAATAGGTAACGTTTGAAACGAATAATAAAAAGTCTTTATGGCTGAGAATGAACCAAAATAGATGCATCCTCGATTTGACATTGAAATTAAAACAGTCTATTAACGTCATTGGCATTTTGCAGGTAAAGGCAGCTTCGGTCAAGTAGTAAAAGCGTACGATCACGAAGAACAAACTCAGGTGGCAATAAAAATTATCAAGAACAAGAAACCCTTCCTCAATCAAGCGCAAATCGAAGTTAGGTTATTGGAAATGATGAATAGAGCGGATACCGAAAACAAGTATTATATAGGTAGGTCAAGATTGTATTTCTCGAACCGATTGATATTTAACCGCACTATCTTTGACCAATCACAGTTAAACTCAAGAGGCATTTTATGTGGCGGAACCATTTGTGTTTGGTATTCGAGCTACTATCGTACAACCTTTACGATTTACTTAGAAATACGAATTTCCGAGGGGTATCGTTAAACCTTACGAGAAAGTTCGCGCAGCAACTGTGTACTGCCCTTCTGTTCCTGTCCACACCGGAATTGAACATCATTCACTGTGATTTGAAGCCTGAAAACATCCTTCTGTGCAATCCCAAGCGAAGCGCAATAAAAATCGTCGATTTTGGTAGTTCATGTCAACTTGGACAGAGGGTATGCATAAACACAGTTCGCTAGATTACTCTATAGCCTATTTAAGTGTTCTAATGAGTCACTACTATTCCGCAGATATACCAATACATACAATCTAGGTTTTACCGATCACCCGAAGTCTTACTAGGAATACCGTATGACCTCGCGATAGACATGTGGAGTCTAGGTTGTATTTTAGTAGAAATGCACACAGGGGAGCCCTTGTTCAGTGGAGCCAACGAGGTAAATCCACGCAAGCAAGCTGGTAGATTGACGTAAGTAGAGTGTGTGCTAACATGGACGCGATTCCGTTTTCAGATGGACCAGATGAATAAAATCGTGGAAGTGCTGGGCATGCCGCCCAAGCACATATTGGACCAAGCGCACAAGGCGCGGAAGTACTTTGATAAAGTCCCGACAGACGGCTCGTACGTATTGAAAAAGCCGAAGGAGGGCAAGAAGTATAAGGCGCCGGGTACGAGGCGATTGCACGATATATTGGGCGTCGAGACGGGCGGACCTGGCGGCAGGAGGCACGGCGAGCCCGGACACTCCATCTCCGACTACCTCAAGTTCAAGGATCTCATATTGAGGATGCTCGACTTCGATCCGAAAACACGGGTCACGCCTTACTACGCCTTGCAGCACAACTTCTTCAAGAGGACGGCCGACGAGGGGACCAACACCAATATCGCCGCTGCCAATAGTGCCAATACTAGTCCTGCGGTCGTATCGATGAGTCAGGACCATGGTGAGTTTCCCCATCCAATCTCTTTGCACCGCTCATAGTGTCACTTCTTCAAGCGCCTTTCTCTGACTTCATGATATCGATTCATTGTTATTAACACTCCTTCTTATCATAGAAAGGCGCTTTATGCTGGAATATCAAGTGAGGTTTTTGCTTTACAAGTTGAAACCAAAGTAATTCATTCTTGCAGTGCCTTTATCATAATGATTTGGATTTTGACTCTTAGAAGACGAGATATAATTATTTGACAAACAAAAATGACACCTCTATGTGCTTAATATCACTCATCATTATCATTAATCATCAATAGTTTTAATTTATTATTTTTATGAATTATATTTGTTCAAGAGAAAAAAACGTGACATGTATAAATATATTTTTTGACATTTTATTGATTTATTATTTTTTGTTTCTCTTTTTTCATCCGATTCCTCTGATTTTAAGTCGTAATAAAAGTTGACACATTAATTATTAAGAGAATTATGCATTTGGAATAAAATACTAATAAAATACATAACTTTTACACGCGTAATTTGAAATTTAATTTACTTTTTCAATTTTCGACTGATAGCAATTTGAGCATTTAAAGTTACTAGCTCGTTTTGTGCAGAAAGTAAGAATTTTCGATTTCAACAGCACGTTAATTGAGTGGTCAATAATTTTGTATGTTTCATTGAAATCATATCACACGATGTTTTCTCACCATAGTCTATTGGTTTAATACTCAAGAATGGTAAAATTAGTTTTTTTTTTCAATAATTAGGACAAAGCTCTTTTTCTATTGACATTTATTCCTTTCTCGAATCTTTTCTTTTAACTACGCTTCAAAATTTGATTTTATTCTCTTTTATTTATGTTAACAGCAAGTCACAAAGTACATTTGTTGATATTACTTATTGGCGAGCTGTCTGAACAAATTGTTCTCCCTTTATATTGAAAATATTAATGATTTATTTTCTGCACAAATTAAACGATTCTTGTTGTTGTTGCCCGTAGATATGATGGGGGGACAGTACACGGCTCGATGACTGTCGTATCCGCGGGGCGGCGACGACCTGTCCTAGGCCCCAACCCTAATCTTACTTACTAACATAAGTAAGTTCTGTCTAACAAATCCTTAATTGCTAAAAAGAACTAACATATAACCCAAAATAAAAAAGAAAGTGCTATATCGTATCCCTGTGGCCTTGGATGTTATGCGCGAAGCCTTGCTTGTCAACTTTCAATAAATCTGAACTTGGAAACTTTGGTGAATCGAGCGATGAAAATTACCAAAATTGTCCAGAGCTTAGCGCAAAGTTTTCAGTTTCCCTAAAGCGACAAGTGGCCAAACTTGAACGACCACCCGATCACCGTTTGACGAAATCGATTCTATAGAGAATGTTTTCTAAGTAAACAAAAACGATTGTTCACTGTTATCGTGTACTCTATAGACTTATTTTTTCAAACCGTGCTGTCATTTTTTATTATCAATTATTCATAATTTTCCATGCATGTCATTAGCTGCTTGTATCTAATCTTAGTGTGCATTATCTTCAATCACAGCATGCCCTAACATATATTTGTTTTATCTTTTTTTTTATAAAATCATCAAACAAAATCACTTCTCATAATGTGATACTAAGTACATGATGCAAACTAGATTCTATTGCTGAAATGAAAAACAGCTTGACTGTAAATGTTAAAGAACCGACTGATGATTTTGAACTACAAAATGAATCGTCATTTGCTTAAAGAAAATACGCGTTGTCACATAATGCATGAGAAAGCATTCCGATAAGAAAGAAAAACACTCGTTAATGTTAATAGCAAGTCATCACGCTGATTTTTCCATACTGATAAACGTGACAAAGATAAAATTTGAAGTAATTAAATCAAAGAAGGCACATTCTTTCTCTTATCTACTTGAACCTTCTCAAGCCACATGAAGCATGCCAAAGATATTTGTCCGAAGAAAAAGTCCGTTCACGTGTCGATTTCACAAAATGTTGCTAAAGTCATGTATTCCTTTTCTGTGAGGTGTAAATAATTTTTGGTATATTTGGATAAGTACGCGAAGATGATCGATGAAAAGTTAAAAGTTTGTGCCACTTTTTTGTCCCGTAGTACTCTTATATAATGCATTTATTCGTCAGTGACCTTGACTCAGTTTGATTGTGGGTGAAGTTACCTTTATCTATATACTTCTTAGACCTAGTTTAGCCCTTCCATTCCAACGACCTCGATGTCAAGTTACTACCTAGTATACCCGAACTGATGTGACGGAGGAAAGCGCAAGCCTTTTCACAATGAATCAGCGATTGGTATTCAAAGGTCTATCCGCAAAAGTGCTGTTGCGTTAATGACATCGATAAAAAAAATGATTAAAAGGCGAGCGGTATCGTCCGTCGACAAGGGTGAGGCGAACCGAATCTAACGCTGGTTTATCAAATGTTTGAACAGGACTGGTTAGCATGTCTGGCGCGGGCAGCAGCAGCGGCGGCAGCAGCGTCGGCGCGCAGCCGACATCGTCCCAGAGCGGCGTGGTCGGCGGCAGCTACCAGCCGATGGACACGTCGTCGCCACGGCACACGACGGCCTCCCTGGCCGCGACAGCGGCCACGGCTGGCCGACGAGCCGGCCCGGCGAGCAGCGGCTCGGCGCCCGCCTCGATCGAGCCCAGCGGCAGCTCTGGCGGCGCGGGCGGCGGCTCCCTCATCCAAAGCTCTCTCGGCTCCTACAACAGCCTCATTCTTCCTAGCATTCCCCACTTGCCGATGACCGGCATCCACCATCACCACCACCATCACCATCACCACCACCACCAGCAAGCCAACTTCTACAACTACACCGGCTACGGCTCGGGCGTGGTGTCCGAGGGCCACGCCCGTCAGGTGGTCGTGCCCTCGCAGGTGGTCGGCGGCAAGCCGCGGCCCGAGGCCGAGCGCGAGGACAGCCCTATGGTGGGTGTGTGCGTGCAGCAGAGCCCCGTCGCCATACACTGATCGACCCATCCTCGCTACACTTTTGCGACCAGAGCGCGCGACAGGCTCTATCCATGCCGATAACGGTTGTCGTGCTCGAGCCACCGCCGAGGCTCCTCGCCCCTATTTCGCTTCATCCCGAAAGCTTTTCGACGTTTCATCGTCCTCGCAGTCTTGCCTTCTTCTTCAACCGGGACGTTCTTCGTGTGCTTTTCTAATGTTGAAACGAGCGCTGGTCCCACTGGGAGGACGAGCTTTGTAACTCCCGACGAATAACCTCGAAAGATGAGTAATTGGCCAGGCGGGTTGTGAACTGTGAACAAGGTGCGGATATGACTGGCTGGCTGACAATCAGCGATAACGATGGATCACAACCAAATACGAAATGTGGACGACGACGAAGCCAAAGGGTATCTAACTTTCTTCCTAGCATGAGTGAAGCTCGTACGCTGCTACACAAAGCAGGGAATGTATTATTGCAACAGCTTGGAGAGCATCTATCTATTGATCGATTGATCAACAAGTTATGTATGGGAGATCGCTCGTTAAGCCATTCGACGCTAAAGTCATGTGTATATATATATATATCAAACCTGTTTGTGTATATTGCGCTCATTAGCTCAATATACGAGAGGGGCAAATGAATAGAGAGAAATATTAGAGCAAAGCCGAAAAGTAGATGAAAGCTGCTGAATAATGCCGCGTTACTTCGAGAGCACAGATGGACGGGGGATTACGGCCTAGTGTGTGGACGAAAGCCAGCCTGGCCTTTCTGGGTCCTACCCGACAGACACTTAATTAAAATTAAATAGCAAAATAATCGGAGGACAAAGCAAATTTAGTCGATAACGCGACAAGGGATAACTTTTACCATATGATGAACTGTGTGGCCTAGCGAGGAAAAAAGTGATAATTAACTATTACTATTATATTAAACGAGGGAAAAAAATAAACAATGTAATCATGTACTCCGATAGAGTTTTATATACGGTGTGACAAATGTTAAAAAAGAACGTAGCGTGTATTCACAGTTGAACAAATAAAAAAGAGAATGATTGTCCTTTGTATAATAAGTCTATAAGTGAATGCAAATGAGGATACAGCTTTTGGTTCTTAACCTTTCAAAAAGCAAGTAACGTGAACGAGAGTGCGAGAGTAAGTGGAAGACCGTGAAATTTCATGTTAGCATTGATGAATTGGGAAAGAAAAAAATAAGAAAAAAAAAAATGATTTTGGTCTTTTATTTACTTGGAATTCGACGAGGCGTTGAGAATGTATGGATAAAATACGCTGAATGGCGCAAACTCCAGTTTGTTATTAACAGAAACTTTGAAACAAACTTCAAAATTTTTGCGCGACTTAACAATACATATTTATACATAAAGTATTGATAAGAAAGTTGATATGTAAAAGCTGAAGTCGTCACGAATAATATAATAATATGAAAAAAATCTAGGTACTTTGTAATAAAATAATACATACGTATCACAAGTACATAAGATCCCTATGCCGTTATTGATTTTTGCCGTTTTTCGTTTTTCCTTTTGTTGTATATCAATCTTTGCTCAGCCTAGGAAACTTATACTAACGAGTTCAAGGGAATGCGAAACGAAAGTGAACTCCACGAAATTTTTTAGATACTGCTTTTTCAAGAAATAAACGAAACACGTACTGAAATATAGACATACACTGAAAACTAGCTTATATATATATATATATATATATATATATATATATATATATATATATATATATATATATATATATATATATATATACACACACACATAATGTGTAGACTGAACAAGTGTTATTAAGATAATAGAAGCAATGTTCATCTCGGTATTTTTACAAAACCTCGTTAATTTGTTGATTTCACGCATACGTCAATTATACCGTAAGCTCTTTGAAAAACATGCAATTCCTTTTTAATACCTACACAATAAAGACTGTTCAAGTGATCACCGTATAATAAACGTTTGCCAAAAGTCCGCAAATCGAAAACTTAAAAATACTGTCGACAAAGAATTACATCTTAATGACAATTATTCATTTGATTCAATTGAGGTAATATTCAAATGTACAGCTTTTTAGAAACATGATTTACACGATTCAAACCTATGAAGCAAAACAAATTGATTCGAGATTTTTTAAAAACGACGAACATTATAAAAGTGAATTTTGCAGTTATTAAAACGTTGGGAGGCTTTCCTCGCATTCTCGCGACGTCTTTGCGTATCAGTTTGGCTGTTGATGCATTCGAAGCGACCATAAACGCGAGACTATGCATTTTTTCCTGCTTACCCAAGCGTGGAACCGAAGAAAACTAAAACAAAAGAATCGTCATCGATAATTTTTAACTGGTGAATGAAGGATTCCGTTGAAGTGCATACAGATTTTTCAAGTTATTTATATATTTTTGTATGGCAGTATCAGCGACGTATACATTTATATTAACTATGCCCTGTGTAGGCTTATCGAAGACTAAATTTCCTTGAATATCTGCGTCGCGTGCTAATGTATACTTTTTTTTCTCTCGGAGAAATCGGTTGCTTGACTCAACGACGAATTTTGATATTTGTAATTATCGTCGAATCTACCGCAGCCAAACAGATAACAGTTGAGCATGCGAAACGATTAATTACAAAACTAACGCACTTTGAATACGTTTAAGTGAAACAAAGTATCACAAGTCTTTTGACAAGTATGAGCGATACTCAGAATTTTCTGTGATAAATTCTGACATTCTCAATAAGAAGTAAAAAAAAAAAAATAAAAAATAAAGTAGAAAATAATCTCTATGGAACGGCAAAAATCAGTATCTTTTTCTAATGGCGCAAGCAAGTAAAGCTAACAGAAACCATTCAAAAACAGTCTTCTTCCATGTCTCTCTGTTAGATTTTGTACAAGACAGTTTTCATAATAGATTCAACTGTTATCATTTATCGATATTGTATTCGTTAACAAAGTCATTCAAATTCGATTTTTGACCTTATGATCGAATTGTAGCTGCGTTCTTATAACTTCTCGTATTAATACAATTCACACTTATTCGACTTACCGACTTGTGAAACTTTCTTGTACAGAAAATTCTCTAACGATGCGTCGAGGCATTTAATTTTTTTTCACTTATGTTTTTAAATCACGCTCATTAATTTCAAAATTTCGAGTATCGTTCAAAAGTTGCTTATGTTATTAATTTAAAAACATATATTTAGCTAATTTAAATGAAAGACAGAGTAAAGCTCTATTAAAATGTTGATATTTCATGTATTCAATAAAATCTTATTAAATTTTTTTTTGTTTTCCACATTCTCCACAAATGATTTGCTTGGAGTAACTTACATATTTGAAGTACAGTTGCGCAAAACTATCTATTTTGGAGAAATGCTTATGATTTTTTATGAAATATCAAGATTTTGCCGCAGAAATATTGCTTGCTCTCTTTTCGGTGTAAATTTTAGGACAATGATTTGTGGCAGAAATCGAATTTTGTCAAGAAATATACAAAAATTGTATTAAATAGCATTTTGGATTTGAAAATAATTGTAATATAATTGTTAGTTTATAATTGTAAAGATTGGAAATATTTCGCGTTTTTTTCTCATTGATATAACGTGCACGTTTTTCCTGGACGAACCTGGATAATTCCGGTGACTTTTGCCACTTAACAATATTTGATCCTTCATACCGACTATTTAAGCTAATTAGAAAATGACAGAATTATACACATTACATAGTATAAGGAACAGTAATACATGCCCCGATAGATTAACTATCTCTCACTTATTCATATTGGCATGGGTTATTTTCAGTTTCCTTTATTAAAAGAAAAATTCCGATGATAAGTGATGAAATATGCTATGTTATATATTCACATTGTAATATTTTAAAGTAATTTTACCGAATTTTTGTGGAGATTTTGCACTTGTCCAATCCAATAAACAGAATAAAAGCTCGATTGCCGTGCTCTGAAACGGAATGATTACTTGCATACCGAAAAGTATAAAATTCATTAATCTTTGGAGCATGTATCAGCTGGGATAACGTAAGTTTCCTAAAGTCATGTGTAAAAACATTGTGTTCAGAAGAAATATACTACAATACGACTGATATATGCCTGTAAAGTGGCGAACATGCGTCCAATGGGAAACTTCATTATATTCGAGCGAAAATGTACGTCTCGACCGTCAATAGGGCGCAATCAACCGGAGCATATGAGGAATGAGTGTGTTTGAGAATGATATGCGCTAAAATTAAGGAACAAAAAACCAACCGACTTATAAAATAAATACAATGAAAACAAATTATAATGATAAAAAAAAAGTGCGGAAAATACGAACTCCATACAAGACAAAGAAATTGTATTTAACCTGTATACATTGTCATATTATTATTAATATTATACACAATATTGTAATTGAAAATTTGAAACAATATAACATAAGGTTATTAATAAACAAAAGCATCTCTAATTTAGTTTTCTTCTATTTTCCCATTTATATTATTTTTTAATCTAAATGACAAATATAATACTAAATATTTTTCATAATTGATGCCAACACATAGATTATTATTTTCATTTATTCATCACAATTTTAAAAATATTAAAAAATTCATTTGTATTGCATTAAAACTTTAGTTACTTCACATACACAAATAATAATATGTTAATAAATTTAACGCTTATAATTTAGGATATGTATAATACATTCGGTAAAATTCTATTTCGTCGGAAAAATTGTGATTTTTATTGCATGACTTAGCCACAGGTATCGCACTCTCGGTACGCGTTTAGAGTTGCTTTTGGTTTCATTACCAATGACTTAAAAAAAAGCGTAGGTACTGTATTCAACATAAATAAAAAGAAAGTTAAATGAAGTAAATGAAACGTATTCAACATGTTTCTTTTTTCCATGTATGTATGAGCATATCTTTGAAATACTTTACTTGATATTTCTATGGGGAAGGAGGGTTTATTTGAAAGAGTATGCCAGCACGATGGTCCCATTTTATTATTGGCTTGATTGATGAATAGCTTCGCCAATTATTGCAAAAAATAAATTTGAATCGGTCTTATTTTGCAAAAATTACTTATATGCAGAAAATACTTATCCTCTCTTTGCAAGTGGCATTTCTTCGGTATGCGAAGATGACATCGCGAAAAGAAAAGTTTTAACGTGCAGATTTTACATGAATGCGCTATAAATATGCCGAATTGGTTGTTTTTGGAAGTTTTATCTCTCGACGATTTTTACATGATACTTGTTACATAGACATATATTACACGGCTAGGAAGCTGATGCAATTTTCATATAAGCTTGTTTTTCGGTCAATTAGCTTTGGCTCAAAAATTTCTTCACGCGAACCAATTATATATGTACAATCAGTAAAAAAATTATTAAAAAATCGAAGATGATCGCACAGTAATACAACAACCTAAACATATTTATAGTTTTAACAATATGATAATAAGTTTATTCACGTCTCAATATAATAATTTGTAACAGAGAATCTCGGTTAGGCCGATTTCGTCCGTTTTAATTACCAACCCCCTTTACCCCAGCCTGCAAAGTGTAATGGACAGTGAAAAAAAAATATCATTCGAAATATCTCTAATTGAACCCTCAAAAAATGCTCATTATTTTAATTGAACCCCTTCAGTTGTCCCAAAAAAAATTAAAAACTATAATTTTTTCGTTTATTGCAACTGCGATATCTTTAGTAATACTTAATACTTAATATTTTTGCAAAGAAACAAGTCAAAAAAATTGAACCCTTGCTCGTTTCAATTGCACCTCTCTTACTTTTTCAAAATTATTAATACATATGTCAAAAACAACAATCTAATTTTATTGTATGTTCTTTCTAAATAACCCAATAATCTATTTGGAATATATTACTGAAGGGGTTCAATTAAAATAATGAGCATTTTTGGAAGGTTGGGTTCAATTAGAGATATTTCAAATGGTTTTTTTTTCACTGTCCATTACACTTTGCTGGCTGGGGTAAGGGGGGTCACAAACACATACACAAACACGTATACACGTATGTACGCACAGAGTAGTATACAGCTTATAGCATTCATTAGCAACTCGCAAAATTCAAAATCAAAATTATTTTCGAAAATTGAGCATCGATGGTATCAAATTGATTTTTTCTGACCAGTGGTGATGGCACAATTAATTGCAATAATCAGTCCTTGGTCTAATCTTGTTTAGTATTGTGATGCTTAATAATTCGGATTTTCAATTTTGCGGTTCGTAAATTAATGTCTGGCTAATGTATAATTGGTTCGTCGTCGAATCGCCGCATCTAAATGCACCCAAAGAGCTCGTAAAATGATACGAATTATCCGTTTCGTTTATTCAAACTTCAGGCTTCAGGTCCGTTGTTTCGATTTCTACGGATTAACGCGTGTATTAACTATCGTATCGAAATTTTGATTAAAAAAATCATCACTGTCAATGTTTCACGTTTTAATGTTGTTGAAATCGTGCTATATCATATAGATTAATATTTGCGTCTTAAAATCTTGTTTCGCGCCATTTTTTCTACCCGCTGATGGAAAATCAACTGCACATCGGAAAAAATTACGTCTTTTGTTTGTCATTTCCAATAATACTGACGAAATGACAATAGCCACAAATACATGAAAAATGCATCTGAAAAATTAGTGAATTTTTATTTTAATGCATGCAAGTAATTCGACTAGAACCCGTTAAACATGAGTAAAAGAAACATGGCTTCGAGGTTAACTGGTATGTTTACGATTTATTCTAATTGACATTGTAACACCTTGATCAAAGAAATGCTTAATAATTGTTTATATTGAAACCCATTTCTCGTTTAGATACTAGTGATAGCTCTAGCGAAGATGAATCAGGAAATGAATATCATTCCAACAAGAGAAAATTTGATGACTCCTTCAATGATAGTTCTGATGATCAATCGTCTAAATTACCGCGTTTTAGTAATATATACACTATTTTTAAACACATTTGATATTTTCTCATGGTGCTTAAAGTAATTTGTTTTCAGATCGCTTCGATAACTATTATAATAAAGAAGTCAAAGAGGAAGATAAAGAAGATAAAGATGATAAAACAGGCTTTGAAACGCACAATATCACAAATTTTTATGACAAAACTGACTCTAATAGATCAGCTACTGAATCTGAAAAAGCATCAAGTTCCTATTACCATGAAAGTAGTGCAAGTGGTATGTAAAACTATTTTCATAGTAAATTGCTATGAAAAATAATAAAATAAAAAAAGTGATGATTATTCTATTTTTACAGGAAATAATAGCAGTATTTCTCATTCAAAATCAAGTTCTGTTTTGAACAAAAGCAACATAAATTTGAAAGATGTGCAAAATAAAAAGCCATCAACAGGTGGAAGTAGTATGGCTGAACGTTATATGAAAAAATTTGGTCATAAGGAAGGATTAGGTCTTGGTAAAGATTTGCAGGGTATATCAATTCCAGTATCAGCTTCTACCCAAAAAGGTCGTCGAGGTTTTGGTTTTACATTAGAAGATCTTGAGCAAGCTCATATTGAATTCAAACCTGAAGATGAAATTGTTAACGTACAGGAAGAAATTACATGGTTGTCAAATAAATATACAAAATTACCATCTGATGAAGAAATAAATAGTTGGAAAAGCAAAAGAAATATTGGTGTAAGAAAAGAAACCATAGATGGAGAAACAACATTTTGTGATGAACTTGTAGTTAAAGGTGTTATCAAATCAAAATCAGTTTTTGATAGACTTGACAAAAATGAAATGCGAGAAGCTAGAACAAGATCAAATCCTTTTGAAACCATTAGAGGATCTATTTTTCTTAATAGAGCTGCTGTAAAAATGGCTAACATGGACCGTGCTTGTAATTTTATATTTACACAGCCTGATAAGTATGATAGTTCCAATGAATTACTATACTTTGCAGACGTATGTGCAGGTCCGGGAGGGTTTAGTGAATATGTTTTGTGGAGAAAAAAATGGCGTGCTAAAGGCTTTGGTTTTACTCTTAAAGGTGATAATGATTTTAAGCTTCACGATTTTCATGCTGGTCCTCCAGAAACATTTCATCCTTTCTATGGTGTAAAAGATGATGGTGACGTTTACGATCCAGATAATCAACTTTCATTTAGAGATTTGATTATGAATCAAACAAAACATGAAGGAGTTCATTTTATGATGGCTGATGGAGGCTTTTCTGTAGAAGGACAAGAAAATATTCAAGAAATTCTTTCAAAACAATTATATCTTTGTCAATGTTTAGTTGCATTGATGATTGTACGTACAGGTGGACATTTTGTAACAAAATTGTTTGACTTATTTACTCCTTTCAGTGCTAGTCTTGTGTACATAGTATATAGATGTTTTAAAAAAATCAGTATATTTAAACCAAATACTTCTAGACCAGCTAACTCAGAAAGATATCTGATATGTCAAGGAAAGCTTCCATATATAAATCATATAATAGATTATTTATTCGAAAGTAATAAAATACTATGTAAAAATAATCATGCAAAAGATATCTTAGAACTAGTACCAACAGATATTTTGACTTCAGATTCAGATTTCTTTGAATACTTAAAAAATTCCAATGAAGTTTTAGGACAAAGACAAATTATTGGCTTGAAAAAAATTGCTGCTTACACAGAAGATAAAACTTTGCAAGAAATTCGACAGAAAGAAATGAGAGAAGAATGTTTAAAATACTGGAAAATACCTGATGAAGCAAGGAAGATACCACGTCAAACAGATGCATCATCTAAAGCCAAAGCAATTTTAGGAGGATCCCATGGTATTCTAAACAAAAATGCATTCAAAGACGCTATGAAGCTTGATAAAGAAAATATTTCAAATACAATTTTAATGAACGAAAACGATTGGTTGTGTACACCATGTTTCTCTGGAGAAGATGATTCCGGTATGACAGAGGACAAAACTGCAACATTTTTCTTAAGTATGGGAAGATCTCAAATATACAAGTATAATAAAGACTATTGGGAACTCATAAAAAATTTCAAAGTCGAACTGCCTCGTGATACTCTAGTTTATGCAGAAGCAGTTATGGAAATGAAAAAAGAAAGTCGAAGTATGACAAAAACTTATGGTTTCCATATATTAGATGCTTTTAATCTTGGTTCAGAAAATATTTCTCATGAATATTTTGATGAGAGGTATGGAATTTACGTACGTACGTGTGTGCGTAACATATTTATTACAAATGGCAAATAATTTATATTTTTATTGTTCTTTATATTTGTTTATATATATTATATTGTTATATTTTTACTTTCAGACTACGATTAATTCGATTATTCTGTGAATCTCTTTGGAAACCAGCAGATACATATTACGCTCGTGTTCGATTGAAAAATTGGATGAAAGTTGATTCCAAACTTCATGAAAAAATACCATTGAAACAGAGAATTATGAAAAATAATACACGAGTATTAGGATATTACCCGTCTTACTACCCTTATGAGAATGACAATGACGAACCATATTACTATGTTCCGCGAAGTATTGTTTTTTTCAAATTCATACAAGATCCATGGGCTTATCATTTCAGTAATTCAAATAAAAAATGGTATTTCTACAATAAAAAAAATAAGAAATCACATTGGGAAATTCCTGAAGACTCAAAAGCTAACTTTTGTCAAATTATACAGAATAGAGTAATTTGGATTTGGCCAAACAGTCAGTCTTTGACAATGAATGATTTCACTGAGCTTCTGGAGATGAAAAATGCACAAAAAAAGAAATAAGCACCAAGCTTTTAAAATTATATCCATAAAAATTATAACTTATCTTAGTTCATTTAAAATTAAAGTTCGAAAATTTCACAATAATTATTTAGTTAGACAATAAAGAAATTTTGTAAATATGTAAATTTATGCATAAAATTACATGTATAACTACATTACGTATCACTTAATAGAAATAGCTGTATGTACGAAAATATCAAAAGTTTTAAAAATAATTTTGAAATTGACATAATGTATTTTTTATTAAAGTAATTAATTTTTATCCATATCATTAGCTCCTATCATAAGAGGCTCTTCATTTCTGAAACCTTTCAAATTTATTAACGCGATAACAGCAAAATCATCTCAATCGATCAAATACAGATTGTTAAATACCTATTCCATTAGACTTGTTCTACATGGACACCCACATCGATGCCTAGTTAAATGACGTGAGAATCATGATGAATTATATTATTACGTTCCACAAAGTATTGCCTAAAAATTGATACAAAATTCAATAATTCAAATTGAAAATGGTATTTTTATATTAAAATACAAATAGATTAAAACATTTCTAAAGATTTGAAAATTAACTTTTTGTCAAAGTATACAGAATGGTTTTTATTTGCGCAAACATTCAGTCTTTGATAATAAATGATTTGTTTTAACGATGCATAAAAAGTAAAGAAACACCAAATTTTTAAAACATTTATAAAAATTACTTGTTTTTGTTCAACTCAAAATTAAATTTCTCAATAGTTTTTACTTATCTAAAATAATTTTATAAATAAATATATTTATGCATAAAACTGTATGTATATCTAGCTATATTTATGCATTCCTTTATAGAAATAGTTGTAATTACGAAAGGTATTAAGAATAAACTTGAAGTTGATACAAAGTATTTTTTGTTAAAATAATTAAACATTTATCCACAAAAGCAGCTCCTATGATCGATGATTCGTCATTTCCAATCTCTACTATTATTTGCTTAGCAATTTTCGCACCTCTTTCTGGCCTCTCATACAAAAATACATTTCTTGTATGCTCAATTATAGCTATAAAGGATCCATCTACATTTTAAAATATTTATTAACTAAAAGCTTTTAGATTATATTTTAATGTAGATTAAATTCATTTACCTGGTGAGGAAATACAAAATTTTTTATTTGTTTTGCTGGCCTCAACGTATCCAAAAGCAGGAAACGTGTTAACATGTTTTACATCCCAATCACCATCCTTAGACTCTTCAATTATCCACAGACAACCGTCATGATTATATCTTATGCAAACAGCTTGTGTGGAAACCTGTTTTTCACTGTATATTATATGATTACCAACATCAAGCATAATTATATGGGTAATACTATGAGTATTGAAATTGCATCTCTGAAGCAAATTTTGCACTCCACTCACATCGCAGTCTTCAAGTTGTTCTGAATTAAAACCAATAGTTGGTTGACCTTGGATATTTGTTACCAGTTGATCTGAACATAAATGCGATAGTCTAAAACATATTTATTTTGTAGTACTTTAAAAACGTAACTTTATAGCACATTTCAATATTAGTACAAGATAGTCATTCAAATCTCATATGGATATTTGCTACCAAGTGAAGCTTGAGTGAAGAAACCACATAAGTGTAAAATCATTTTCTAATACTAATATTGAAACGTGCTATTGTTGCTACACTATTATTATTATAATACCTTGCATGAATTTCAGCTGCTAACTCTTGATTTGGTAAATATTCACCCTCATCATTTCCTACTATCAATTCATTCCACATTAAACCACTTTCGTATTTTGATAACTCAACTTCCAAAGTATCATCATTCTGTTTCCATATTGTCAAGTCTGATTCTAATCTGTGAGTTGTTTGTCCATCCAACAAAGTCAGATCTCCAACTAAAATTGAAATACTTGTATGTGTGGTTTCTACTTTTGCTTTAACGTTGTCATATTTTTTTGGAATTTTGATATAAACTGTTATTGAATCTTTGTCTTGAGACCAACAATACCGAGGAATTTTTATTTCTCTATTATCAATTGTTGTGTTGTCGTTATTTTTTATTGGATTAACAGAATCAAAGTCAAATTTAATTTCATTTTGACTTGTTATATAGAAAAATGTTCCGGTTTTTTCAATGTATAAATTCTCAACAACTTTTGATACTTTAGCTGTTTGCTTTTGAACTAATTTGAGTGTTATACTTTTATCTTCAAAGTTAGTTTTATAATTATAAAACAAAAATATAAGTCTTGAAAATGTTTTTCCTTGATTCTTCTCTACTTTGTACAGAGCAACAATTATTTTTGAAGTTAGTTCTATCAATCTAGCATCTAATATTACAGTTTCATCAATTTCATCAATTAATAAAATATTGACACTTTTATCATTTTCTAGTTTCAGAAAAGTAAGGGCTCCATTTCCATCATTAATCACTGCAATATTTTTTGATGCAAAGCTAATAGATGAATTGTAAACTAATGCATTAGAATGAATCTTTTTGCTTGTATAAATTTTATCCAATGATCCATCAGAAGCATCATATCTCCAAATCGAACCATTATTGTCTATGAACCAACAAGTAGAATCAAATGGATTTTTAAATAAATTATTGTGAAAGGCAAATAGCCTTGCTTCTAATAAGGAAGCCTGATTTGCATTTGGCTCCAATTGTAAAATTTCTAAAAATTAAAAATATTTATCAATAATGTTATTTTTCTGTGTAACATTAATATATGAAAAGAGACAATTCTTCAGGTTAATCCTTACCGGCTTCCAATTTTTTCTCGTATTTTATCGGTACTTTTTCTGAACAAAATTGATACTTTTCAAAATCATGATTAAGAAGCTTTTTATCAACACACAAATCAACAGTAATAGCCATCTTATAAGTTTTACAAAATGGACAGTTCAATTTTATTTTATATATATTTATTGGCTTCGGTAGTTCGAGATTAAGATGAATGTTTTGTAAGCACAATATGGATCAGCTCCAACGTCCTTCCCTTGAACCACCATCACAGAGCTAAAAAAACTCAGCGGGAAATCAACGAAACTCGACCGAAAAAAATTATAGAAAAACTGCGCGTGGTTAACAAAGATAGCAAAATTATTTATAACTCCGCACAATTTCATTTTCATTGATAAAAAAATTATCAAAGTTGATCACTCACAGATCATCGATAACTGTAACTTTGTGGAGTTTTAACAAAGTTCTTAGAGAAATAAATTAATTCAATCGTTAGCAAAAATCACACGCAGTTTTTCTATCCAATCAAAATATTATTATAACTATTTATATAAATAATAAATATTATTTCTCACTATAGCCATATGGACCTGAAAGATCAGTCGGTAACATAGATCTATACACTTTTTAATAAGATTCCTACCACTTGTGGATGACCACTATCATTTACTAAGAAAGTGCGGGTGGACTACGAGATCGCCACACGTTTATCAGGCGACTATGTCAAATTTAAATTGAGGATTACTTTTTTGACGAACTGTACTCATATATAATGAGCTTGCGTTTCAAGAAAAACCTGCTAATCTGCTGAATTTAGAATTGTCCGAAAGAATAAGCAGGTCAGTGGACGGAGTGGAACTCTTATCGTTTGCAAGAAAAACTATCTTCCACGTATTCATTAATAATTGGAAAAACTCCGTTGTTATGTTTCAATTAAATGTTTTAATTTTATTCAATTATTTTAATTAATATCAATGTATACTTAGCGCAAGCCGTAAATTTTTCAATAACGGATTGCCGTTTAGGTTGTCATTTATTATAAATATATATTATGATTCGAAGTCGTAATAGTTATTAAAAAAATAATTACATACGTCAAAATTAATGAAGATATTGATTAGTAATTTCGTCATAATCATTAGGAATATAATAATAATGCTATAAAATTCTTCATCATTAACATGTTTATTATAAATAGGTATTTTATTTAAATTGTACATTTCTAAGAACCATTTCAATCATTGTATACATTGTATGAGTATGTAATATATGTATAATTTTATTATACATTTTATGGGTCAATATATAATTTTTCTGCAGTGTGAATTTTCTTTTCTTTTTGAACACTATGTTAAACAAAGTAGGAATATTTTCAAATTAATAGCCAGATATAAAAATAGTATTACAATGAAAGATTACAGTACTTTATAATACTGCTTAAGAAAGTAGCGATCTTTTGTAAATAAGGGTAATTGGGTATACTTATATATGGCATGAACAAATATAAAAGTATACAAGCAGTTTAACGTATCCCCCTCACTTAAATTTTTTATTAAATAAATTAGATGATTAATCTCAAGTTTTCAAAAACCGCAAAGCGATGCTTTTCATTCAAAATTTCTGCAAATGTAATCTGAAATAATCTATAGAAGAAAATTATATCAATGCCCAAAATCAGATCTTTAGAAGAATGGGCTATTTTGGAATATTTATAAATATAGTATAAATAGTTGCTGCTGTACCTTCTAAAAATCTGCAAAAGAGAGTTATTGGTATTTAGAGTGAAAATCTTAAATTTTATTAAATTCATTAACATGGTAGAAACGTTTGCATTCATATTTATAAGAAAAATATTATAAATACTTGTATTATTTTAGCCCAAAATGTAATAAATAGAATTTGAAGATACTATGTAAAGATAAAAAAAGATTAGATGAATTAAGATACTATGTAAAGACAAAAAAAGTATTACACTAACAATATTCAAACAAATAATTTTCAAAAATAACACTTAGCAGCTTTGGGTAGATCGCTACTTTTGTCCAACATACTGTTGTTCATAAAATAATGAAGGATGCTGCAGTTCCAACACTTTATAATACTATTGGTAACAATAGTAATTACAATAATGAAGATTTGAATAATAAATTAAATAAGATCTAAGCCATCAAATGATGCTTTATGTACAGTAATAACAAAGCTACTTATTGAAAAATAAATTATTTAATTTTATTAAACATTCAGATTGTTTTATTCTATTTTGTAAATAATTATCAAGTTTAGTATCATAAAAAAATCATCACATTGTTAATAAAAAATTTAATTAATAAATAGAATTAAAATCATGTAAAATCCTTTGTAAATTCAGCTCAAAGATTTTTCATATATCCAAGTGGAATTAAAGAATAGTTGGGCTTTGGTCGGGTAATGTGATTATATGTATATCATCTATGATAAAAAAATAATGTAGCTGCCCACAATAAACGCTGCCAAATCCATCGTGGAATACGACAAGGACCCAAACTAGTAACTGAACTAGCTATGTGCCTCATCCAATCCCAAAGGCCTCGAGGAGCATGGCCACCATTTACGTAAAGAACATATGTAAAGCCATCTTTGCATTTTCCTCTTATATAATAGTAATAAGGAAGAAAACTATGTAACCGAAAGTGACATCGCTGATAAAAACGTATTGCTGGAGTATTACTTGACAATACATGAAGAAAAACAGCTTTTACTGATGATCGCTCTGGGGCAGTGACATGGGCCAGTAGCTGTTCCAAAAGTAGTGAAGCTATACCATTTCGTCGGTAAGCTCTTCTTACTCCAAGACTAAGTATGTAACCAACTAGAGAATCAATACCAAATCTTGAGCATAGAATGCCACGGTCTTCCTTATTGAGTTTGGCATATGGTTTAATTTCTGCTACGATAAGGCCTATTATGACTCCGCCATAAACAGCAGCAAGAGCATAAAACCTTGATGAACTTGTAATATCTTCATACCATGAATAAGGATAATCTACAGTAAATAAGGAATTAAGTAACAATGAAAAGCAGGAAAAAGTTTAGATAGCTGTGCAAACTGATTTACCTATAGGAAACCAGTCTTGACAAAGAGCACGCACTTCCTCTAAGTCATCAGGACAGAGGAAGCGCAATTGAACCTCGCCTAAGATGCATAAAGGTACGGTAGCGGGTCCGCTATTTGAATCATCGTCGTTGTTATTGACAGCATTGTTGAAATGCGGCTCGTAACTGTTCGCTGGAAATGGTCTCGTTGTTGTGCTGCTATCATTGTCGGGAAGACTGGACGCGCAGAGAGGACAGTCGTCCAAGGGACATATGTCATCTTCATCCTCAGGTACGATGCTCTGGACTTCCTTCAGCTCTCGCCAGACTGTCTCGTAGCGGTCAAACGAGACGGCCGTCATCGCGACCCTCTTTTCGCATTTTCCTGATCATCTGGTCTCGATAGCGAGATACATCGAGAATTGTAGCATATGGCTTTTTTTGCTGCCTCTACCCACCTCATCAGAGTATTACGTTTTCTTTAATTTATGCTTTGTTGACATTATGAACAAAGCTACGATACATTTATTAGTAGTTAACTAATCTACTGAGCTCAGCAAATAAAATGACGGCAAGTGGAGTTTTGTTAGCTAGTACGAGGGATAATGCTGCATATGACTTTATTAGTATCCGTGGCTTATTTTATATTTCTGTATGTAACAAAAACTCTCACATTTAGCTTTTCTAACCTTACTATCAACGAAAGTCAATCAAAACACCAAAACCAACTCTACTCAGTACTCGTTTTCTCGTATAATCATATAACTATGTTAAGCTGAAATTGTGTATATTTCTTCTCTCGCAACATATAACCTCTACGTTAATTCACTTTAAGTAAAAAATGCTGTACATTATTGATACGTACGAAGGTTTATTTACAAAGTTTTAGTATACATACTCGTAAACATAGTAATAATAAAATGTTCACATTTGTAAGAAAGAATAATCAAATAACTTTTTTTGTCAAGGTTAAAATTTGAACTATCTACAACAAAAATCGTAAGGCGGCAATCGCATGAATGGACATGGAAAATTATTAGTATAGAGAAAAATTTTATTTTCTAAAGTATTGACAAAAAAGTTATTCTTTCAAGATCAAAATGGTGACAAATATGATGGTTTGTAAAAATATACCAATGAAATAAGTCAAATTGTAGCATAATTAAATGGTGCCTCCCAAAGTTGAAATTCAAATTAATTAAACCTGTCTTCAGATTGGCTTAGCAGCTTGAATTGTCCAACTCCAATGTTCAGGGGCAATTTTCAAGAGAGTAAAGAGTGCCAAACAAACGGGAGAATAAGTAATTATCGCGAAAAAATAAAATGCATTAACGGATATTCATGTTGCCTTTTATATTGTGTATATTAAAAAGCTTATTTGGTGCATCTATAAATAAATGAATGTTACATGCGCACAAATCTACTATAAATTTTATATATCCTGAGTTCTCAAGAGTTCATGTATTCTCATGGCGTAAAGTAGTGTGTGTTCGCAGTTTCATACTGACGGTCCTTGTCTAGCCCGTAGCTTCGTATTGGAACTTGTCGTAGAAAGGGGATCGGATGGTCATCGTTGTCTCCGACAGTCGAACCTCTACGGCGTGCCCAAGAGTTACTCATTCAGAGATAAAAACACATCGCTTTGCTAGTTATAAACGTCGACCAGATTTCACCGAGTCGGTGAATATCTCAATCATGTCAGAAGGAATCTACCGCCGTCGTCTCAAGTACCCGTAAAATAACATTATTTTTGCGAGGACCGCGACAAACATTACCAAGAAAGTAAAGGCCCTCGAGAAATCACGACTGTCAGTAGCATTGGAGAAAGGTGTCCCATTGTTTTTGATCTGTTTTTATACGAACTTTGGTTCTTTTGTTCGATGCTCTTCTCTCTCCTACCATATATGGGAAAAAAGCATCGATGAAATTTGAGATAGGTAAGCGTGAAAATCTCTCATGTGTTTTGCATACCTCAGGTGTTTCGTTACTTTTTTTGCCAACTCAGTCCTTTTTTTCGAGCTATGATTTCCTGTCCCTTCGTAACATTTCTCTTATTCTCTTTAATCTTATTCAAACATTTTTAGATATTCTTTTTATGTACCATCTACAATTTTACAAATTATCACATCATATTTTCTACCTTAAAAAAATTATTTTTTTTTATTCATGTTTTTTAGGTTCATAACCTAACATAAGCAAACATTCCTCGGGCGAACTTTTGCTACAGCAACTATATTGCAATAACACAAACTCTTCATCCTGCTGTCAATGAGCAGATTGTGGACTATAAATTGTGAAGCTGATTCAACGGCAAGAAATTAGTGTGTTGTATACACGTCTAAGTATACAACAAAAATAAGTTGAGCATGATGAAGAGTGCTTTACCAAAAAAAGAAAGCAAAATGCGTATAAGAGCATTTCCAGTAAGTTTATCATTATATTATTTAAGCATTTTACAATTTTTCTAATGAATAGTTTTATTAAACTGACAATTTCTACAACATAATTTATTCATCTCAATTGCAAAAGCATTATTATATTTTCATTGTTTTTATTTATTTGTAACTATTTTATTACAACAAAGAACAGTATTTAAATAAATTTGAAGGTTAAATATTCCATTACTATATCAAATCACCTTGGTAACAGTAACCTGAAGTTGCTGATATTCCAGTTTTATTTATGTAAATATTCAGTGAGAAATTATAAAAGTCATGCAAATAATCTTTTCCTATAAAATTACCAGTTTTTACATGGTAATTTTACGTAATTATTTTTGTTACAGTATTCTAAAATTTACATTTTGATTAATTATAAGTAAATAGTTTTCAACATTTTTTTTAACAATTATGATTTAATATTCACAGTTATTAAGGGAGTATCGAGAAATAAATAGTGAACAAAAAATAACAATGGAAACATGAAAGCAAAATTAAATCTATAATGAGTTACAATGACTACTCTGATCCTCTTCATAATAATTTTAGCAATTCATCACATACGAATTTGCAATTGGAATCATTTAAATCGTGTTCATCAAATTATTTGATAATTACTGATAGACTTGTAAGAATACATATTTTACACAATTTTAATTTAATTTACTAACTATATATAAAATATTTCAGACATCTATGGACGAAAGATATGTTGAAAATATATGGGCTCTTTTAAAAAATGCTATTCAAGAAATTCAAAAAAAAAACAATTCAAGTCTCAGTTTTGAGGAACTTTATCGAAATGCATATACTATGGTTCTTCATAAGTATGGCGAACGGCTCTATACAGGACTGAAAGAAGTAATTACACAACATCTTGTGAACAAAGTACGCAAAGATGTGCTTGACTCTTTACACAATAATTTTCTACAAACACTAAATCAAGCATGGAATGATCATCAGACATCCATGGTTATGATACGTGATATTCTTATGTACATGGACAGAGTTTATGTACAGCAAAACAATGTGGATAATGTATTCAATTTAGGACTGATTATATTTCGTGATCAAGTAAGTTTGTAAATTCATTGATAAATATGATGTGTAACTATATTCATATGATGCATTAAAATCTTTAGGTTGTCAGGTATGGATGTATAAGAGATCATTTACGCGAAACTTTATTAGGGATGGTTGCAAGAGAAAGAAAGGGCGAAATTGTAGATCGTATCGCAATAAAAAATGCTTGCCAAATGTTAATGTTATTAGGTATTAATAACCGTCAAGTATATGAAGAAGATTTTGAACGACCATTTTTACAACAAAGTGTAGAATTTTACAAAGTGAGTATTAAAAGAATTCAATTTCATAATTGTATTTTAATTTATGCTCAATTTTACATCATTCATTTTGTCTGCAGATGGAATCACAAAAGTTTTTAGCAGAAAATAGCGCATCCGTGTATATAAAACAAGTCGAAATACGTATTATCGAAGAGTCAGAAAGAGCTAAACACTACTTAGACGAATCTACAGAGCCACGAATAGTTGAAGTAGTGGAGGAAGAACTTATCAAAAAGAATATGAAAACTATTGTTGAAGTAAGACTATCGTTCTTTAATAAGAAATATTTAGGACGTGAATTTATTTTTAATTTATTATATTTACAGATGGAAAATAGTGGTGTTGTTCACATGCTTAGAAACTTGAAGACTGAAGATCTTGGTTGCATGTATAAATTATTCTCTCGTGTTACTGACGGCCTGAACACAGTTTGTAGTTGTGTATCACAGTATTTGAAAGAAAAAGGAAAAAAGTTAGTTCAGGAAGAACAGGATTCGGGTGCTAATGCTGTTCTATTTGTGCAAAACCTGCTAGATTTGAAGGATAGATTTGAGGGTTTTCTACATTATTCGTTTAGTAATGACAAGCATTTCAAACAAATGATTGCCTCTGATTTTGAATACTTTTTAAATCTAAATCAAAAGAGTCCAGAGTATCTTTCGTTATTTATTGATGATAAACTTAAAAAAGGCCTCAAGGGTGTAAGTTAAATATTTGTTTATTAATTTTTTTATGCGTTGTAATCCTAGTTGTTTCATCTAATTTTTTTATAACAGATGACAGAACAGGAATTGAAGGTATCTTGGATAAACCATGGTGTTTATTTAGATTTCTCCAAGAAAAAGATGTTTTTGAAAGATATTACAAACAACATTTGGCTAAACGGCTCTTATTGAATAAATCCGTGTCTGATGATAGTGAAAAAAACATGATATCCAAATTAAAGGTATGTAATATAGGAAATTATTTTAATAATATATCGCAAGGTTGAAGTAAAGCTTGGATGACAAAAATTTATTGTTTATTTAGACTGAGTGTGGCTTGTCAATTCACATCAAAATTGGAAGGCATGTTCAAAGACATTACTGTCAGTAATACAATAATGGAAGAATTCAAAGAACATACATTGGCTTGTGGAGTAAGTTTTATTTTAATGATTCAGTAATTTAAGATTGGGCATTCGAAAATAATTATTAATGATATTCATTATTAATTATATAAGAATTCATTGCTTTACATAAAAGTGTTAATTATATTACTATTTTAAGATGACGTTAAGTGGCGTTGATTTGAGTGTACGAGTTTTAACAACTGGATTTTGGCCAACTCAAACAGCAACGCCCAAATGCAGATATGCCTTCTGCACCACGTGATGCCTTTGATGCCTTTCGTCGTTTTTACCTTGGTAAACACAGCGGTCGCCAATTAACTCTGCAACCACAATTAGGTAGGAAAATTAAATAGTTAATTTAATATTTTCAATGCCTGCAAAAAGAAAAAATTTAAACATTGATCTAATTTAGGTTCAGCAGATTTAAATGCCATTTTCTATGGTCAACATAAACAGGGACGGTAGTTCAGATGGCCCATCGTCATCGACTGGGATGAGTTTAACTCGAAAGCATATTATCCAAGTGTCTACCTACCAAATGTGTATTCTCATGTTGTTCAATAACCGTGAAAGGTTGACGTATGAAGAGATCCAAAATGAAACTGATATCCCTGAAAGGGATTTGATTAGAGCATTGCAGTCTTTGGCAATGGCAAAGCAACACAAAGAGTATTGTTAAAAAATCCACGTACAAAAGAAATTGAGCCGTCTAATGTGTTTTGTGTTAATGATAGTTTACCAGCAAACTTCACAGGTAAATTTTTTAATATATTTCTTGATAAAAGCATTGATTTATATAATTACTTGCATACGTAATATTTTATTTTTAGAGTTAAGATACAAACAGTAGCTGCGAAAGGAGAGTGCGAACCGAAAGAAAAGAAACGAGAAATAAAGTTGACGAAGATCGAAAGCACGAGATAGAGGCTGCTATCGTTCGTATAATGAAAGCACGAAAACGAATGCCCGTAAGTATTTTCATTGTCATATTTGGTATGTGAAATTTTCCTATATTTAAATAGGTGTTTCACTTGAATTCCTTTTAGCATAACATCCTTGTGACTGAAGTGACTGATCAATACGAGCTCGATTTTTACCGTCGCCAGTTATTATTAAGAAACGTATAGAAGGTCTAATCGAAAGAGAGTATCTAGCGCGTACACCTGAAGATAGGTTTGTACTACTGCACATTTACATTTATTGTGAATCGTAAATTGCTGACGAATATTTTTTTTTGTTTACAGAAAAGTCTATACGTACGTTGCATAAATCTTTATGAAGAGGATTTGTACAAACATGTAAGTGAATACATACAAAAAATTAGATAAATGTTAGAAATAGCGTATTATTTTTATACAAAACTTCTATAAATATAGTTTTTGCATTACTCTATATTTTTTTTTCAGAAATACTATCGGGTTTTGGATATTAGTAACCCGCTTCTTCATAAAACGTTACTATAAGTTTTAAAATAAAAAAACACACTGTCAGTAAAATTGAAAACAAGAATTGGATTTGGGATCATTTCAACTTTATGAAATAAAAATTTTCTATAATCCTCGTTTACCCTTAAGATTATTTGAGATTGTATAGTGCGTTATTATAACTATATGTAGAATTAAGATAAGGTTTTGAAAAATGATTAAATTATTTCCTTTTTCAGATACAACTTTGTATATTTTCTTTTTAATTCTTAATGATTCAAATTTCTACAACTTTTAAAACCCCATTGATGTCGGTTGCACGTTAAAATAATAAATTATCGATATTCGCAATAAATTACGAATGATAAACTTTTACATTTGAATACCGATAAAGTATCATTTAAAAACTGCATTCATATTGACAAATTTGATATATTATGGAAATATGATTGAATTTAGTTTTTCAATCAAGATTATTCGATATTTATCTGTGGTTTAGATAAACAATTGTAAGAAAGCCATAAGTAATTCTTGTTACACATATTTTAGTTCGTTACAGATGTGATGATAGTTCAATGTTCAAATATTATTAATTCACACCGTAGTGGCAGTCCAATGGTTAAGTCAAGTTGAATGAGCTTATAAATTAGACATTCGGAAAAAATGATTGATAGTTAACAAATTTGGGTAATAAATTGTCAATAATACCCGTAACAAAGCGTCAGATCAATAACAATCAGTAATTTTTAAATAATTTTTTTATAAGCTTTGCTGATGTAAATTTTATTTGAAATATTACTGTCGCGTTAAAAACAAGGCCACAGATATATACCTGTTACGATTTTTTTAGTCAAGCTTTTTGACCGTTGAACCTGAAATTGCAAACGATATTATCAAGCCAATAGTTTCCATTTAGATTTATGTATCTACATGATATTTACATACTACAAAACTTGATTAAATCGAAAATTTAAATTAATTTTTTCTCCATGAATATTAATTATTTAATTATAATAGGGAATTTTTTATTTTTGTACGTATTATTTTGGTATTCTTTATTTATCATTTTATTTGAACATTCTATACTTCGCATTTCTTCGCTTTCGTTCATATTGTAGCTATTCTCAAATTATAACTTTATTTAAATCTCGGGATTTGTTGGAGAAATTGATTTGGATCAATACAAAAATGCGATAAAATTATTGATAATATTTAAAACTATCGACTGTTTCTATAAACAAGGCATTTATGATCAGATCAATGTCTTTTCTAATATTACTCTGCAAGAGAGTGAATTGATAAATGGAAATATTGTCTTGCACATTCTCGACATTTGATTTTATCAATCAGACAGCTTTACTGATATAAATAAAACAAACTGTCTATAGGGCGAGCATTTCGTGCGTAAAAAGGAGGAAAAAGTCAGAACGATCTGATAATAAAACCAGCCATTCGTCTAAACGTCGTAACTACAATAATACTGCGAAGGAATATGAAGAAAATTGAAAACACAAGTAATCTGCTACAAATAGTCTAGATTTAAAAAAGAAAACAGAAAAGTGGGGAAAAGACTACTACTATATGACTAAGAGAGATTCAGATAAAGCCAAGAGCAGAGAGTGCGTGCGATCACTGGCAGAGTGAAACCAAGTGTGTACATATATGGATCAATGTTCTCATGTCTTCGAGACTTTGACTCTACATTTTTTATAAATATTTTCCACGTTTTCAAGGCGAGTATCTAGTCGGGTGCGAGAGTATAGTACAGCAGAGTTTGCTCGCAAGCCGGGGAAAAATAAGCAAGTGTGAATTTATATATTAGACGGCTTCCGCGCGGCAATTGAGGTTGGAAATTTCAACAGCAACGCATACAATTGCGCAGCCGTAGCCGCTCTCTCGTACAGACGTAGACATAACATAGTAGGTGATTGTGTGAGAAAGTGTTTTACTTTCGCTGCCGTGTGTGCGCCTGTCGGCTCATCGCTATGGCCGTGCCCCTCCAGATCTGCCGTCGAGCGACTGCCGGTAGTTCTGTGCTGCGGAGCTCACCTCGGCTTCACTTGGCTCGCACTGTCGTCTGCGACGCTTCGTCCTTTCGCCGCCACTTACTCCTCGACGACTCACTACTAAAGCCGGCCGCTCCCAGTTTCCTCAGTTCCAGACACCTTGCTGTTTCTGCTGCTACCATGGCGAAAATCAAGGTAAACTTGTACTCATTTACACCCTTATCGCTCTTTGATGCCGACATTTTGCAATCGATAACTTACGTAGCTCGCCTTTACAAAAATCGTTTCGATGCTTTGTCATTTTAACGACGCTAGCTTCCAACGACCCTGACATCGATTTTGTTATTTGCTTGCGTTTTATTCTTCAATGCACTGTCGTAATTATATAGCTTATCACGAAAATGGTCTATGAATACTCACTTGCTCACATTTACATGCAAGTATTTTAAAATAGAATCGATACGTTTGTGGCGTGCATACATGTGTAAGCTTGCGGACGGACATGTGTGCGAGCGAACGAGGACATCACAGATTACTGCGTGGCCCTGCGCGACCAGACTTTCCAGCTCTATACTTTCATCGCGATAGCGAGTTCAGTGACTAGACCTAAAAAGAAGGGACCTTTAGATTCGTGTATGTGTGCGTGGACGCTTCTGCCACCGCCATAAACACCGATAGAATAACATTCGATAGGTTTTATATGGACCTATCAGTTACGTGAACGAAAACGCCTCTTTCCACGTTGCTTCGGAAACAGTTAATTGCTATTCGTCAGCATGATTTTGCAAGAATTCTATTTGAACGCACGTTGCCCGACCGGGGCTCTTGATCTATCGGTCGATTGTTATTGCTAACGCGTTTTCTACTCGACTTATAAGTTCACTCTTCATCGATACCAAGGATATATTTTTGCTATTTCAGCGATTGCTGCAATGAAAAGTTCACCGTGTTTTGACTGCGCAGTGACATTTTCAAATGCACACGCTACGATACCCAAATTAACATATGCATGTGCTTCGTGTTAACATATTTTTTGAAATACGACAACGCGCATCCGACATCGATCGTGCGATTATTGTTCTCATTGATTTATTGTCTGGCTATCGAAGCAGAGAATCGCATGTTTTCGGCTGAAGGCGAGGTAGTGACGCTGGTCAACTTGTTTTGCAGGCCGGACCGGTTGTCGACATCCTCGGCGACGAGATGACGCGCATCATTTGGGACCTGATCAAACAGAAGCTGATCTTCCCCTACCTGGAAATTGAGCTGCACACTTACGACCTCGGTATGGAGAACAGAGACGCGACCGAGGACAAGGTGACCGTGGAGTGCGCCGAGGCCATTAAGAAGTACAACGTGGGTATCAAGTGCGCGACCATAACGCCCGACGAGAAACGAGTGGAGGAGTTCAAGCTGAAGAAGATGTGGAAGAGCCCGAACGGTACCATCAGGAACATCCTCGGCGGCACGGTGTTCCGCGAGGCGATCATCTGCAAGAACATCCCGCGACTGGTTACCTGCTGGGAGAAGCCGATCATCATCGGCAGACACGCCCACGCCGACCAGTACAAGGCAGTGGACTTTGTAGTGCCGGGTCCCGGCAGTCTGGAGATCAGCTGGACCAGCCCGTCCGGCGAAAAGATTAAGCACGTGGTGAACGAGTTCAAGGGCGCCGGCGTCGCCCAAGCTCAGTTCAACACCGACGACAGCATCCGCGCTTTCGCCCACAGCTCCATGCAGTACGCCCTTGCGCGCAATTATCCGCTCTACCTGTCCACCAAGAACACTATCCTCAAGCAGTACGACGGCCGCTTCAAGAACATCTTCCAGGAGATCTACGACAACGAGTACAAGGCCAAGTTCGAGGCGAAGAATCTTTGGTACGAGCACCGACTCATCGACGACATGGTCGCCTACGCCATGAAGTCCAACGGGGGCTACGTCTGGGCTTGCAAGAACTACGACGGCGACGTGCAGTCCGACTCCGTTGCCCAGGGCTACGGTTCACTCGGTCTCATGACCTCGGTCCTCATCTGTCCTGACGGCAAAACTGTCGAGGCCGAAGCTGCTCACGGCACCGTTACTCGCCACTATCGCATGCACCAACAGGGCAAAGAGACCTCCACCAACCCCATCGCTTCGATCTTTGCCTGGACTCAGGGTCTTCTTCACCGCGCCAAGCTCGACAACAACCAGCCGCTTAAGAAGTTTGCCGAGACCCTAGAGAAGGTCTGCGTCAGCACCATCGAGTCGGGCTTCATGACCAAGGATCTCGCGCTTTGCATAAAGAAGGCCGACCAGGTCCAGAGGACCGACTATTTAAATACCTTCGAGTTTCTGGACAAACTCGCCGAGAACCTCAAGAAGAGCCTGAACGTGTGACTTTGCGGTCTTGATAATGCTGACTTTCTTCTATTACAGGCTAAATACTAGAGATGCTTGTCAATGCGGCAAGCGCTATCTCACGTTTGCACGCTGAAGGGAATTTCTGCGTGAATAACGATAAACAGATGTCATTACGGCACGCGACGTAACCGAGCGGTCTCCATTGATACGTTTAATATGTGATCAATTTTTCAAGACTAGAGTGCATTTATAAAATAAAGATATAATGTTGTATAATATCTATTTATATGTAGATATTATTGAACATATTTGTAATGAAAAAGAGTCAAAATATTTTGAATATTATATTTTATTTGATACTTAATTTCGCCTGTGCTAGCTTATTTTTTCCTCAATGTCACTGCACCGTTATATCTTGTTATTGCGAATTTCGCAAGTCGCGATAACTGATGTTAACGTTTAGATCAATTGGGTAATATTCGTTCTGTTCATAACACTTTGCTAAGTTTATTATAATCTCGAAGTGATAACATTTTTTATCCATCCAGCCGACTGTTTTCGACAACGCTTTTCTCACTTTATCTTTACTAAATACTAAACTTTAAATATATAAATTTTAAATGTTCAAATGTTCATCAAAGATTGAACAAATTTATATTCAACTAGCGAGATATTTACAGGACAGAACATTTTTTCAAGTACTTGAAGTTATTTTTTATTTTAATTACTAGAAACCTTGAGTTTTAATTAATAATTATAGAACGATTAAATTGTAAGATTACTAATTGTAAGATATAAAAACGACGATAAATATGATTTGAATTATCTAACGAACGTTACATAAAAGTTATTCGCTTAATTTTTACATGATTCGGAAATGATTGAAAAACTAATTAAAGGCTAATTAGCAATTTTTATATAAAAACTTACATAGAGTCCATAAATTTGGCAGTTATCAGTGTAAAACCCGAATCCATATATGAATTTCGTTTAAGTTATTGCTAGCATAAGCAAATCTTACTTTCCCGACTGACGTTTAATGTCAGTCAGTTTGCGCATGTGCGTATACCAACCAACAGTCACCCATACTACTCTGTGAAGGTAGATAAAGTAATTCTCTGTAGCATTGTCACGGCATTACAGTCAGTCGAGTCGAGTGAACTATAGCGCTCCGTCGACATTGGAAAGACCGCACAGCATTGTTTGTTCATTTACAAAAACGCTCGCGGGTAACCATCAGATTAACGCGCATCAAACTTATTCGGCAAGTTTTTAGTCGTAGATTGAACTTTTATTACGATATTATAAGCTTTTTTCCATCTATGACAATCGGCTTATGTGTTCAGAATATCAGAATCATCGAATAGCGGTGTGGGGAAATCTTACGAAAACGTTATTTTGTCTTTTTTACAGCATAACATACGAGGGAACAAAAGAAAATAATAAGCGGTCGAGAAAAAGTGAAGGACAGCTAAAGATAGGCAAATGTAAAAATGATAAAGTAGACAGGATAACTTGCCTTGAATAATTGAATGTCTTCAGTGCGGTGATAACTTCTTGTGAAAAGTGTCCTACTTGCGTGCGCGCTGCCTGCAAAATATTTGGAACAATAAGTAAGAAGGCGACGCTTTGGAATTATTTGGTAAGCTTTTATATTTAATATAAAGTAAATCGAACGAGGGGAAATAGAATACATCGAAGCTGTGTCGTTTGGTCTTTAAAATTATAATTATGTCTTTAAAAGCTAGCTAATAGATATAATTCAAGTATCGACGTACCGATATGTTCTCCGACTTGTTAATAATTAGACGTTAGCGCATAGGTTAGTCATCGCAAAAACAGCTATAATGGTCTAGTTTTTTGCCATGTCGTTGAGCAAGCTTCGATATAAGCCTTTGGTTAATCAGTTGCTCTCACTTACGTCAATGGAAAGTACAATGGAAATAATTGAAGAGGCTACCGCGAACAGCTTTGTCCACGTGTCGACGTCAAAACAAAACGAGATGATTCAAACTATCGAACTACGTGAAATTTGTCGTAAAATAAAAAAAATATTTGCACCGCGTCACCAAAACGTCATCTATCAGTCTGATTTATACGTAAAATACCAACAAAAAAAATGTTATTTGTCACTACGAGTTATAAATACATCGCGCGTGAATGAGAATTTTATTGTCAAAATGATAAATACTGCGCCGGCCATTCATCGCGCAAGAATGCGCGTTAGCAAAAGAGAGAGAGAGAGAGAGAGAGAGAGAGAGAGAGAGAGAGAGAGAGTGGGGAAATCGCAATCTCGAGTATTTTATAGAATTACGTCGATTCATAAACAATAAATCGCCAAAACTGGCTGTGCTTTCCTTCTCTCTTTCTCTCTCTCGAAAGCGCGGGGGCAAACGTTCAATTGATCAATTTAACCGTTCGCTCGCACTACTACTCGTAAATCAATTAAAGACTCGCCTAAACCGCAGCTCTCGTTCTTGCTCGCTATAAAACCGAATGGCGGCGCAAAAAGCTCAACTTATTTGACCGTCCATACGCAATTCTCAGTTAGCCCGCTACCGTTTATCCAAACAACAGGAAGAAAGAAATCCGATTGTCATATAAAAAGTGAACACGCTTTCAATTTACGTCACTCGTTCTACTCGCGAATCAATAAAATCAGACTCGACGTTTTACTGTTCGCACCGCAATTTCCCACGAATAATGGGTATGTTGCTCGGGCTGTCTTCGCTTATTACTGCACTTATTCACTATTGCTGAAATTAAATCGAATAATTTAAGCTTTGTTTGCTCATCTTATTCTATCGTACCATTTAATCCTGAAACTGTGCGCTTATCCATTCAATAGTGTGTTGATCTTTTTTCTTCTCAATTTCCATGTTACTCGATGAAAAAGAATCAGCATACATGCTGAGTTTTATTAAACTAATCGAGTCGAAGAAAATTTTGCGAGGGCCCGAAGGAGAAGCTCAATATACTAGCTGCTTTCAGTGACATGCATTCAGGGTGATAGGGTCAAAAGATCCGTTCGACTTTGCTTTGCTTGATGTGCCGCTCGCGTATATATATGACACAGCACTGTAAAACAGAGTAAATAGACAGGAGGGGGAGGGGGTAAGTTGGTCAGATTGAGCGATTCCAGAGACGACCGTCGTCGTCGTCGTCGTCGTCGTCCATTTTCCGTCTTGGCGTGCTGGCGGAGTTCACTAGATGTGCCGAGGTTACAGCGTCAATATACCATTGACCTCTCTTTTCGTTTCGCGTATTCTCTTTTCATCCCCTTCTGCTCTCTTTTTATTTTTGCGCGCCCTAGCCTCGCTTTATCGCTATTCTTATTTGTCTTGCGTCCTTTTCATCTGGCAATATCCTCGGTCGTTAGTCAAACTTTGATTCTTCATCGTGAAAGATTAATTGGCGAGACCGTTGTATTCATTGATCGCGTTCCTCGTATTTCGTCGTTATTCTTTTTCTCTCTTTTCAATCTGTTTTCCTGAAAGACCGATTGATTTTTTACGGCTCGACGGATAGCGAAGCCATCGGGAATGCATAATTGATTGGAAAGATTGCGCGCAGGAAAACGTAAATAAGCAGTGGCGATCGTGCCGTTGAGAGCGCCAAAGCAGCTGCAGGCCGACGCGAGGCTTGCGCCGAGGACGCGTGAAAATTTCGCAGCCGCGATAAAAGAGCACACGAAGAGGGATAATAGCGCATAGGTGAAGAAAGGACGTAGACCTGCAATGCAGTCTGTTGGGCCGCGCGCAACACAGTCCATTGTTCCTCGCGGCCCGGACTCTCTCGTTTCGCGAGCATCGCGATATCCAGTTTCGACGGGTTTCGCAGCAGCCAACCGCACTGTCCTCGATCGCTCACCCCACTCTCCGCTGCTCGCGATAGGTATACGTGCATGCTCATTATGCGTCGTCTGCAACGATCGCTGCTGCGTGTGTGCTTGCACGAGAATCACTGTCCTTTGCTCCTGTAGACAGCCGCGCACAACAACACTCCTTTGCCTCGCTGGCTCGCTCATGCCTATTCAAGTAGCCACTTACTCCGCGCTGGTTTCATCGACGTTGACCGCACCGATTTCATCGATTTTCATTTAGTCGGCGATTCGTTTCTTTCTTAAAAGCGATTTCAAAAGCCTCGCTCTACGTTCGCGCCTCGTTTAGCCAGCCCTTTGTCGATCCTTCCATTGTGCAATATTTACACACGCGAATCGACTGGTGTGCAACGCCTATTGCACAGTCTAAATGTAATTAGTGACTTTGGCGGATGAAATCCAAATCGACCGATTAATCGGCGACAGCCTGAGGCATGTTATGCTTTTACTACCCGGCATCGTTGTTTTCATCGCGCTTAATCCAATTTTCAATTATATGTAATTTTGTAAAAGGAAATTACGTCAGCCTCTCCTTTGCAACGCGGCGCTGCGGAAAGTCCTCGGTATCGCTCGCTTTGCGCGCGCGCGCGCGCGCGTTCGAGCCCTTGAATCGAGGAGCGCGCGTAAACTAAACTTGATTAAGCTCGTTAAATTAATGAAAAGCCGGCTAATTACTCATGAAATATTCAACAAGGTGAAAAGAAAAACAAGAGCGCGTGTCTCCGCGAGAAGGTTTCTCTCGTGTACTTCAACGGCCACAGCTCCCGCACTGAAAACACGCCCGGGGAAGCTAAACCACGCGCACGCGATAAAAAGCAAAAGAGAGAGAGAGAGAGAGAGAGAGAGAGCGAGAAAGCGCGTGGTGTAATACGAGGCGAGGGGAGCTAAACCTTATCGGCACTCGCATTTCCCAGCTGCCCGTTTTTCCGCGCCCGCGCAACCTTCAAAACCTTGGCCTATACTCAACGGTGCCTTTTCACCTCGTGCACGCTGTACTCATTATCTCAAAAGTCTTCCTGTCCTTTGATGGCGCTTTCATTTGCACAAGATGGCTGAGTAACGTGCACGTTTCCGACGCTCGCTGGTTTATACGTGTTTGAGAAGAAACGGCTTCTCTTTTTATTCTGCTTTGCTCGTTCTGGAACTTGCTTTTCGGGATCAACGAAGCCTCGATTGCCGAGCTATTTTTATCCGACTGACAGCTCCGAACTGTCCTGCCCACGCCATTTCATTCCATTCGACCTGGTCAATTGCTACAGTCATTGCGATCGAAAATATTTCTTGATCAGCGTTGTCGGGATTTTCACTCGTTTCAATTGAAAATACTCCTTCAAAACTGCTATTGTGCGACTTTTTATGAGTAATCTCGAGGGGGGGGGGGGGGTGGGGGAGAAGGAAAGTTTTTATATGACGCTAAACTCAAGTACTTTACGACGACGGAACTTGACGTAAATCTCAGTTTAGTCTATACCAT